AATCATCGCCTTCGACGTATCCGGAGCCGTACTGGACGGCTGTGGTTCGGTTTTGGGGTGTGCCCCCTTCGTCGTACTTATCGGTGAAGGGACAGCCTTCGTCGCTTGTGCACTGGGGTCCAGGGATAAAGATGTCGGAACTGCCGGTATCGAATTGTACGGTGAAGAATTGTGCAGTGATGCCGTAGCCCACTTCCATGGGGCCATAATACTGCTCATCGAAATCAGGGGCCTCTACTTGATCCAGGAGGTTCTCGGTAGCCAACCTCCGTTGCAACGAAGCATTGGCGGAAGCTCCAGGGGTGTTAAACCTCGAATGATACTTGTTCAACGTTTTCTGCAGTGACCTCAAGAGGGCGGGGCCGTTGACCTCGCCGGTGGAGCGAGCGAAGGTACGAGGAAGTGGCAAGGCAATCTTGTTCAGAACATCTGCTTGAGGAGCTGGAGCTGCCGCGATGAGGCCGGCCAGAAACAGAAATGCGAGCATTGCGCAAGGACAAGACGACAGGTCAATGTTGGCGAGTCCTTCGGTCTTAAATTGCCAGGAGACCCGCATTCCAGAAGGGCGGACAGCATTCTTCGGACGCGCGGACTCGTGATGAAGTTGGGAGTTTGAGACCACAGTGCAATCCGTGAGGCAAGTGATCAAAACCTCTGCAGTTCGAGATATTGGATTTTATTCTTCCGTCGATGTAGTCTTCATGCTTGAAAAAAAAAGACGCTACCCACGAGTAAGACTTGCTAAAGTTTAACCGCTAAGAAAGGAAAAGACATCCTCGTCAATGTGAAATCTCCGATATTTAGGGGTTGGTACCACTTCAACTGCTCCTTTTTGCACACCTCGCCCGCCGGCAAACTTGCAGCAGTGGGACTTCAAATTTTGATGTTTCCTCGATTCATGAATTTTGACCTATTTTCTTACCCATAGTCAAACTTGACAGAGCCGCAGATCGACAGGATCGGCAATTTAGAGCTGACGTATGATGCTTACTGTGCAACAAAATCGCCGAATCTTGGATCGAAAGCGTTTTGAAGTCTAAAGAATTATTCGAATCTGTAAACACCTGAATCAAGTAATAAGATGTCGAACAATATCGTGATGCCATCTGAGGAAAGTACGTTCAAATCATATACCCCGGCATTGGCCAAAGCCTACGCAGCTAGTCGAGGATCCTACCATGAGAACCTGTTCAAGGTCATACTCGATAATCACAGATCAACTGGAGGAGCCATGCAAGTCCTATTAGACGTGGGCTGTGGTCCTGGCAACTCGACAAGGCCGTTGGCCAGGCACTTTGGCAGCGCTTTTGGCATCGACCCAAGCCCAGAGATGATCAACACCGCGAAGAATTTCAGCGCCGAGTCCCCGGAAGAAACAGCCAGTGGCAAGAATATAACCTTCTGTGTCGGCAGGGCAGAGGACATGAATGGTCCGTTTCGAAAGCCGGGGCAAGGGGTAGATCTTTTGACGTCCGGGATGGCGGTACGTGTGGTATTTGCGAACAAGCGCCACCGTCTTAATGTCGTCTAGGTACATTGGTTCGACATGCCACGATTCTGGTCTTCTGCTGCTGCTTGCCTCAAGCCCGGTGCCACCGTAGCTTTGTGGACAGCACCTTCACGGTATTGCCGTAGGTCTTTCTTCTACGAATTTGATACGCTTCCCTTGATTGCACCGACCTGACCGAGCAGATCCCTCCACTCCAAACGCTGCCAAGGTTCAGGAGGCAATGTCCCGTCTAGAGCGCGAGAACCTGGCTTCGTACGAGCTGCCAGGCAACCGCCTCGCCCGTGACTCTTATGACCACCTTCTTCTTCCATGGAATTGCATTCCTCCCGTCGACGGTTTCTTAGAGAGTGGTTTCACAAGGCTCGAATGGGACCGCGATGGGAAGCTCTCTGACCCTGAACACTTCTTTCTGGGAGACAAGGCAGTCACGATCGAGAGGATGCAGGAGATGTTGAGTACTTCTAGTATGGTGACAAGATGGAGAGAGACGCATCCTCAACTGGCTGGAACCGAACACGACGTTGTGGTGAAGATGGCGCGGGAGATGAGGGAGACTCTGGGAGGGGAAGAGTTGGTCATTGGCCGGAGCTGCGTGTTACTCTTGTTTAAAAAGACCGGCGTATAGATTGTATAAGCATACTTTCTTCCTAACAACACCTGCAAATTTGTATGCGCAACGACACCGAAGGCAAGTACACCACATTCGACGTCAATAATGACTTCCAAAATAGGCCCCGGAGTATCGCATATACATACAGACTTATCAACAATAAAGAATAGAAGCGAGTCATTAATAGTTGTTGTCGCAGAGTACTCGAAATTCGGCCTTCAAGTTGGCAATTTTTCGAAACCCCATATACATCTCGCTCATTCTCAGAGATATACTCTTGAAAAGTAGTATATTCGATAGAGAATATGTGAGAGTATAAGCCTGTGCGATATTATGATAGTTTAGAAAAAAGTTAACGCAAAAATTTGTTATGGGGCGTTCGCAGACGTGCCACCCCGAAGGCTGCGAAGTCAGCGAATTAACCCAAAGGGGCTTAGCGGTCTTGGCACGTCTGAGGGACTGAGGCAAGTGGTGGCGGCATGGTTTGTATAGGCTTAGTCAGCAAAATTCGTTCGTTGTCGGTGGTAACGAACTCCTCCTTTGCTCTCCTCTCCACCCTCTCGACTGGTACTTCCACTTTCTGGACGTCTTCCTTGCCGTGGGCGCTGCCCATTTGCGCGCTACTGCCACTCCGAAATCGGCGGTTCGCGCAGTCTACAGGAACAGAGACGTTTGGATAGGAGCACACTGGCGCAAACGCATTCTTTGGGGCGTCGCAACGATGACTTCCGACGAAAAGCTCACCCTCGTCCAGGCAATCATCGAGACCACAGACAAGCATGACTTCGTATCTCCCCAGCTGTTCGCTGACTCTGCTTCCCAACGAGAAAGACAAGAGGTGGAAGCCGCCCGGACATATATCCTTCAGCAAGCCTTTCCTACCATCCAGACCCTTACGCCCCTGTGTAACACGAAAGCTCTGAGCTACACAATACGGCTAGATACGGTTGGTAGCTTCCTGAAGCCGCAGCCTCACATGCTCATCACCCAAGATCCGGGAGGCCTCCACGTTGCGGAAGTCGATTTCCATACCCACGGCTACGACACTACAATCGTTTACAAGGACGCCGGCATCAGCCAGAGACTTGCTTTACAAAATCTACAAGAACAGAACTTCGAATGTTTGATCAATGGCAAGCCACATCTGTGGCACCCTCTTGGTCCTAGTAAAAGCGTATTTGAGTTGACAGAGGAAGCAAAAAAGAGGGTCGCGCTGTTCGTATACGCGGAGGGTATGGCTCAAAGAACAGGCTCTACTTCGGCCAATGGTATGCCTGTCCAGGAACAAAAGATAGGAGAAGTGCACGTCATGGAAGACTTCTTGCATGAGCCAGTCGCACTGCAGCAGACACTTTTCTCCGCTATTGTGGTCGTTGAGCAAGCAAAGAGGAGGGCGACTAGTATAGCGAGCTGGGTGCCTCCTCCGGCAAGCAAAACACATTTTCCAGGACGGCGCCGAAGTAGACAGGATGGTAATATTACTGGGAAAGGCTAAAAGCGTGGTTCCAAACCTCCGGGATATATTATATCCTATTGCCAGATCAGAAGCTCGGTCCTCAAACCGCAGAGGACGACGGCACTGCACGGGAAGTCTCCCATGAAGCCCACATTTTTCGCTCTCAAAGATCCACAAGACTCATGCCACTGGGCAATCTACCCATCAACCATTCAGATGTTCTTCCCCCAAATCCCAGAAGTCAGACATTGCACCGGAATTTTACCCACACTCCGCGGCCATATCACTGGAAAATAGGCATGGAGGTGTCATATATGGTTTGATTTGGGATTTCGTTTGCTAATTTATTGATACCCATGGGTTCGAAACCGCTTCTTGTTTCACAATGTACAGTCTTCACCCTAAGTCGTTGCTGTGTTTTTGGGCTCGTTGAAGTGTGCACATCATTCTGGAAGACTTTCATGTTGCCTTCGCACGTAGTATACGCTCCCACGAAACCCTTGGTACAGCAAAATCGCAAAGCGCTCTGTTGCTCAGATATTTGTCGCGTGAGCGCATCAGCCTGCCAGCTACTCGTATTCCAGGCTAACGATGTTACCTGTCGCACTCCTGAAACACTTGCTCGTGCCATGCGGCGTCGGGACTCCAGCATGCAGGCTTGCAGAACCATCATGACCCAGAATCCTGGATTTCCTATCATTTCGATGATGTGCCTGAGATTCAGTGAACGAATGTGCTGATCTGCTCAAAATTTTCAGGAAAGTAATGTGTGCAGGAATCCTGATAAGCACTACTGACTAGCTTGCTTAACAAATAACCCTAACAATATATCATTGGGGCAGGAACAAAGCTGGCGGTTGGCGGCATCTCCGACTGGCTATCATCATTGACTATTATTGGCCTTTTTGTTTCATCTCCCAGTCCAAAAGCTGCTGAGGCTGCGGGAAGATTGTTATCGAACTTATTAATCTACAAAGCGTTTTCGCTTAGATTTCGCTTCGGATGGCTTACTTAATATGGGTGATGGTGGTGGCGCATGTGCTCTGAGTGGTCACACTTCAACGTACCACGCCCCTTTTCGTTCCACAGGATCCAAGATCAAATTAATGTCGTTGGATGTCGACGAAGCGTCTGGCCCTACCCGGTCAAAAAATAATTATCTGCTGAGCTAAGAACAGGTTGAGCCTAAAGAGGGGAAAATACCACCGAGGGCGGAGTGTGTTTTCCCCCTATCATCTATCATTCATGCAATATCTATCTGTTTGAGGTCTACGCGCTGTAGCCTCCGCCTTATCATGCTTGCTGTGACTACGGCCGATGCATCACCATAACATGTATCCCTTGCTGACAATTTGTCCACATTCACACGAGTCGAGATACTTGACCAATTATCTGGAAGGCCCCTTGCTACGCAGACCTGCTGCTGGTAGTAAACATGACTGGGCATTATTCAATAGCTTTGAGAAGATCTTCCGAGAGCTGAGGACCCGGGAATTGCGTGCGCCTGGATCAGGCTTTGATCTTCGCCATACGTACGCACTGGATGCGCATCATGACAGTTCATTTCATTCTATAGTACTCACATGCCGCAGCTGACTCGGTACCTATTCCTTGTACTTGGCTGGCTTTTCTCCTTCCCAGTGCAAATATTACGAAGGACTGTCATACCAACAAATACCTCCGGTATGTCAGATGAGTGTAAGATCATATCCTTTCGTAATGGGCACAGTCTATACAACCACAGCCACATTATCAGCGTTGTCTGGACCCAATCGTTCTCCTCGAGCAAACGGGCTGGCGGAAATTGATCGTTGATGCCTCAAGTGCTGATGAACTTGAAACATCTCTCAAGTAAGACCAGGCCTCGGGGCCGGCTGTCTTCGTATACCAGACCAGCAAGATTGGTCCTAACCATCGGGCTAAGTAGGATTCCTCTTTCATTGCTTCTTGTTGGATGGGGCGAAGTACTCCCTTGGGCTGTTGGCAATCTCTGCACGTGTAAGCATGGACGGACATAAATATCCTGATGGGAGTTACGTACTTGCTCAATTATCAAGTAGCATTCCTTACCTCTTAGTGCCTTTGAACAACTCTTCTCATAGCTTATTCTTTCCCCACAACACACTGTTTGAAGGACCACCCACGCTCTCTACACACCCATTCAGTCTACAACATGCTGCGCTCTATAGTAGCACCATCAAGCCTAATACTCCTGGCAGTTCTCCCCTACGCCAATGCTCTACCCACCTTGACTCCAGGAGTGCCAATTGAGGGAGGCTCCAATGGTGGTGTGGTCGACACATCTTTCGAGAACATTCAATGCTCCAGTAGCATCACAGGAACATCATCAAGCCAACAGGATCGCTGGACGGCTGCCCAAGGAGACATCGCTTTGTCGACACTGGGCCGCGAGTTCACATTCAACCTTGCGGTACGAACGCAGGCACAGGGTCGTTACGACAACTTTGCATCTATCTTCTTCAGTGGTCCAGCAGGCGCAAACTTGAATTGCGGCATTGAGGACAGCGACTGTGGGACTGGACCTCCTATTGTGTCGGGCGGCTGCCCAGGCATGTACGCAGCTGGCTGGGAAATCCTGACCTCTTTTACTTCGCTTGATCACGTGAGTAGCCATGCCCCCGCGTCAACGACCACATCATCTAACCTGTGGTTGCCAGGTCATGAACAATCTCGCAACGTCTTTCGGGACGGCTCTCAATGCACTCAACATCGCTCAAGCTACAAGCGATTTCTTCCCTAGCCAGGCTTCGGTTTTCGCTGATAAAGAGATTGTGAGCGCCGTCGCCGGCATTTTAGGACTCATTGGGGGTCTAGTGGGGCTGGGCGAAGAAACAGCTCTCACTGGTGCCTTGATCGGTGGTATATCAGGAGGAGCATTAGGCTTTGCTGGGACAGCCCTCGGAGCTCCTCCGGCTACGCCCGGCAATTTGACCACTGCCTACAGCCAAATCCATGATACCACCCTCAAGGCGTACAACGATTTCGCAGAAGCCATCTTTACGAAGGGATTTGTTGATAGCACAGATGTCACAATGGGCTCACTTATGGCGAATGGCGCACTTTTGGTCGAGCCTGACTTCAATGCTCAGATTGTGACGGTGGAGTTCCAGAAGTCTGTTTATGCACAGCTTGCGGTTGCCGCTTGGGCACAAACGACGGGATTGACTCCATTCATCACGTATGTTCTTTCTCGGAATCCTATGATCAACCATCGACTGACCTGTCCTGCAGCTGGGACGACGCGGATTGCGATAATGTCGCTGCGCTCTACATGAAGCAACCGACCAACGTGCCAGGCGCTGTGGTATCTGCAGACTTCAGCCAAGTCAACGCCACCATCAGCGGCCGCTGCTACTACCTTCTTGGGGCTCAGACGATAGATGGATGCAGCGGCCCCACGGACAAACGCAGTCTGGACAAACGAGCCTTGGTGCCAGGTGGAACCCAAAACCCTCAACCGGACAGTGGTACCCCCGGCTCCGTTGGCTCCAGATCCTCTTGCTGGAAGATCGATGTCCTACCCGGCGGCACCAATGATGTGCTCGACGGTACCGCATACCACGGCCTCCTCGTCGCGGATTTCTTAACGGGCGCAGTGGCGGGATGGACGGCCAACGGTGACACCAACGGATATCCTCCCATTTCGCCAAGCACGAGTTACCCACAGAGTATACAGGATGCGGGGTTCATAACGCAGATTCCGGTCTGCGATTATCGGCCAATCAATGGACAAGCGAGCAAGGCTGCGGGGAAGAACTGCCCAGATCTGACCGCCACAGCTACAGCATCGTGAATTGAATTATGCCGGGTTTCTGCTTGTAACGTCTTGGCTTGCATTTGTGGACTCGTTGTTTGGGCGGATGACCGGTGCAAATGAATACTTATCGCGCATCCATGTTCCTTGATTGACATGATTTGTTTGAGTAGTCAAGATTTACCACTGAAATATTGTACACCTCGTTTCTAGCTTACTTTACTCTGGCCATACTGTAGCTCCATCCCACCTCAAAGCGAGCCATCAAAGGCTAGACCTAGAGCGTCATGGCTTACATATTGATGACGAAGCAAGCCGATCTTCTCTCCACCAATCGGACCACGGGAGGAGGAGGACCCTGGCAGATCATTGCTCGAGGTCTCCCTCACATGATTATGAATCATTGACTGTCACGTATTTGACATTTATTACATCTTATACATCTTGTACATCTCTCACTTAGAACATCACTTGTATACATCAAGCCGAGTTACTTCTATAACCTTCTTTATCTAATATACCTAATCCACAGACATGGCGAAGCAGTCAGGCAAATCCTTCCGCTCGTACGTCCAGGCCTTCTCTAGTTCTCTTCAACCCCAAGTGTTGCGCCTTCGACCTGTCTTGCAACTATCCACATCCCCTGTAAACACGTCTTCAAGTTCCCTTCTCGGCGGGCAGTAACACTGATGCCCATTTCTCGCTCCTCTCCAGCTTCCTCGGCGTCGAACCTTCAAAGCCCACCACCAAAGACAGCGTCCTCGTGATCGTCGATGCCCAAAACGAATATGATCACGGCCTCCTCGCCATCTCGGATGTCAAATCATCTCGTGCGATCATCGGCGATGTGCTGAAGAAATACCGAGATGCGAATGGAGATGTGGTGAGCTTTCGAGCTATCTTGTTCTTCCCTCCTCCCAATGAAAACCCTTCCTCTTTTCCCAAATGCCAAACAGCCATATCTGAACATGTTTCAGGTACACGTCCGACACAGCACACCCGACGGCGCTCCTCTGTTCACCCCGAAAACCGAACTGGCCGAAGAATTCGAAGAACTGACCCAGGGCGCCGGTGCCTCGGAGAAAGTAGTCCACAAGCAGCATCCCAGCTCCTTCACCGGCACAGATCTGCACGAGCATCTGGACAAGTTGGGCAAGAAGAAGATCGTCCTGGCTGGTATCATCTCCTCATAGCTACCTACTCCACTCCCCTTCGCACCAGAGCTGACGGGTGCGATCAGGATACATGGTGCGCCATATCTTCCCCCCTACTTTGACGGATCCTCCCGTCCTGTTGGTCCTCTGACATCCATTCACCCATCGCAGGCCCACGTCTGCATCTCCAACACCTCGCGCGCGGGCGCGGAGCTCGGCTACGACGTCTCGGTCCTCGCCGACGGCATCGGCGATCGCGACATCCCGGGTGCTTCGGCGAAGCAATTGGTCGATGTGAGCTACATCTCTCCTCTCCTCTCCTCTCCTCGCCTCCGATATTCCTTGCTTGTGCTGGGGCCGTGCTTACAGGCCACGATTATCATAGACTACGCTGGCGGAACTGGGGGATGTTTCGGCTACCGTCATCCACAGCGAGGACTTGTGAGCCTGACGGAGGGCCAGGGGTTATTGACCCTGCTTGCCTTGGTCGTTGGAAGCATATGCGCCGCTCGCTGCTGTGTCAATTGGAGGAATTTTCATTCAAAAGTCCGAATATCTATCGAAATCTGTAGGAAGTAATCAACGACTTGATGTATCGAGGAATGTACACCGGAACCCCGACAACTGGGTCTTTTCCCTCCAAAAGCCCGCCTCCGTACAACCCACCCCTTTCGCGCACGATGCAACAAACCACCGTGTAATGCCAGGGCACCGAGCAACCACCACCCCACCCCCCCCCTTTCCCCCAGCTACATCCGCAGCACAATCACTCATACACCCAACCCCTTCAATACCAACCGGCCCCGTTACCTCCAACCCACCCATCTCCTCCCTTAGTCCGTGGCTTGCTTGCTTGCTTGCTTGCTTGCGAAGTCAACAGCTACGTAGCGACATTTCTTAAATCCATCAAGACAGATAGATACCCTCGTTGGCGTGGGATGTGCTGAGTGCGTGGCACGCTGACTAACTTCTGCGGAGGATCCGTCATGGATCCTGCCCTGCTGGAGAGGAATGGATGGGTTGACGAGGCGGTGGGGGTCGTGCTGATGTGTGTGTTGTGATGGCGGGTTGCGGGGTTGACACGTGTGATTGGTCGATGGGTGTTTAGAGTGTTGAGATTTTTGATATTGGGAGGAGGGGGGGGGGAAGGTTGTGCAGACAGGCGTCGTTTAGGGAAGAGTGGGGGAGTGTGTAGACATGTATCTTTTGGGGAAGAGTGCGGATAGATGTATAGATGCATTCTTTAGGGAAGAGTGGAGATGTGCGTACGCAATGCCTCGGTCATCGAATCCCGGGATTACAGTTATTTTACTCGAGCGTTGATCGTTTTTGGATATGGGAGTCTTTTATCACAACGACAGTCTTCCCCAACACAAGACTCTTTCCCAACATGGGACTCTTCCCCCAACAGGATAATGTTCCCGAACATGAGACTCTTCCCCGACACGGGACTCTTTTTCAATATGAGACCCTTCCCCAACACGAGAGTATTCCCCAATATGAAAACCTTCCCCAACATGAGCATCTTCCCCAACATAGAGAATCTTCCCCAACATGAGGATCTTACCACAAGAGATGAAGCGCAAAAAATACATAATAACAAACACATTAAGTATCACTCACAATCCCATAAGCTGCTATAAAACGCACAGTGAAACCCCACCCCCTTTCTCATTTTTGCCATCTCGAATCCCATCGCCGAGGACAATATTGATGTATAATGGAAATATACGAAAATGTTTATGCGTAATACCTTAATTAGTGCTCGCAAACAGTGAGACCATACAGAAATAACGCATGCACAAGTAGATATATAGATATATGATTAGACATATCCAACACTAAGGTAGCTAAGACCTTTCTGGACATACAAATAGCCCAAAAAAAACCCCCCAGCGCTAGAAAAACTCCGATGTCTGAGCGACATGCCCTGGAGTGAAAATGAAGCTATATATAGGTGTGGGTGGGAGGGAGAACAATGATATGGCTCTGAAAGAGAACAATTCGAATGAAGAGCCCACTACTGGTGCAGTGGCCATACAAATAGTACTCGCCATGTCCACCTGTCTCCCTGCTATCGCATATCGCATAATGATGGAACGGCTGATCAAACAGCCACCAACGCTATGGCCTCATAATGGACCCACTAACCCTCAGTCCCGCTGTTGCGATTAATGATGGAATTCTCCGCCTTTCTTCCTGATGTAAATCCCGTTGCTGATACCGATGTGTTGTTATAATTTAAGTATATGAAAATATATATACGTATTATCTTAATGATTAAATTATAAGATTATAACGATTTCACTCAGATATAAGAATCTAAGCTAAGATTAAAATTATTTTACTAAAGTATAAGAATCTAATCTAAGAGAGAGTCTACTAGCAAGTAAATAAGGAAAAGAATAAATATATAATAAACGAAGTAAGAGGTATAAGGATCTAAGCTAAGATTAAAACGATTTCACTTAAGTATAAGGATCTGATCTGAGAGAGAGTCTGCTTGCAAGTAGATATGGAAAAGAATAGATATATAACAAACGAAGTAAGAGGTATAAGGATCTGAGCTGAGATCAAAACGATTTCACTCAAGTATAAGGATCTGACCTGAGAGAGAGTCTGCTAGCAAGTAGACACGGAAAAGAATGGACATATAATAAACGAAGTAAGTATTACTCACGGTCTAATAGGCTGCTACATACTCTAACGACTAATGAAATCCTCCCTTCACTTTTTGGCCACTTCAGACCCCATCGCCTACACCAATAAGGAAAGAAAAAGAGAAAAAAGAAAGAAAGAGATGCATGCAGGCGAAAATGCAAATCAACCATCGCACTCTATGCACCAACCATGCCCACCATGCCACATGAATCCTGTCCTGCTCGCCATGCCACACTAATCCTGTCCTGCTCGCCATGCCACACAATCCTGTCCTGCTCGCCACCACATGACCCAACCGACCCATCTACAGATCCTTGGCCGCGAACCCAAGCTGAGGGCCTCCAGACGCGTCATCGAAGACGACGAACTGCGACTTGAGGAAGACATCACCGAAGATGGACTGCCCGATGCCGTCGTTGCTCTGGAGCCCGCCGAAGCAGCTCCCGCTCTCGGAGGCGGGGGCGTAGTTGAGGTAGCTACCCGGGACCACGGCCGCGTAGCCTTCGATCTGGAGCGTGAGGTCGGGGAGGGCGGCGGAGCAGGCGAAGATGTACCCGCCGTCCGTCTGGCTGTTGGAGGATCCGGAGACCTGCGCGTAGTAGGCGGAGACGAGGTCGTCGGGGAGGAGGAGGAGGGACGTTCCCGTGTCGGCGATGGCGGGGATGCTTTCGCTGACGGCGGATCCGGAGCCGACGGCGTACCCGCTGGAGGTGAAGCCCCAGAACCCCTGGGAGTTGTCCACGGCGGTGTAGGTGATGTCGCCCGTGTACTCGCTGGAGTCGACGTAGCCGAAGTTGTAGCTACCGGGCTCGCCCTTCTTCAGGTTGGCGGTGAAGAGCGGGGATTCGAGGCTGGACTCGGAGTTGGCGAAGAAGGTCTGTTGCTGGTTGGGGGTGACGGTGTTGATGGAGCTGAAGGCGAGGCCGAGGAGGCCATCGCTCTGGTCTTGAGCGAACTCCGAGCTGATGGTCTCGGCCAATTCGACGGCCTGGCCGGTGACGGTGGTACCGCCGATGTTGACGACGTCAGTGTAGACGTTGCCGCTGGCTGAGCTGCCGTCTCCGTAACTGATACTCCACGTCTCGCCGGTGTCGACTTTGGAGGTTTTGGAGCTGGCGGGATTGTAAATGTTGTGGCCGGTCTGCTCGTTTGCGGGCAGCTCGGATGAGAAGACCCATCTACCGTTTATTAGCAAAGATGGCAAGCGGAAGACGACATCGAACATACAGATCAGACGATCCAGTGTCAAAGTCCAAGTTCAAAGTCTGACCGCCAACAGTGACAGACTCGAGATAAGCCTGATCGTATTGCTCCGGGCTGGCAACCACCGTTCCATCGTTGGTTCCCGCAGCCTTAGAAGCGGCCGCGTTGACTTTGGCTGGTGCATTCGCTCCAATCCTAGCATATTTCCCGTAGACGCGCGCCAGGGCAATAGGACCGGCTATCTTCTTGCCTTGGAGCTTCGGTGGACCCTGAGGGACGGTGAATTTGGCGGCGCCTGTCACATTGCTTGAACGCTTGGAGACCAATGGATAAGGAGCAGCGGCTACAATTGACGCAAAGGCCGAAGCGGCGGTGACTTGTTGGAGAAGATGCATTCTGGTGATGGACGAGGACAGTACTGGAAGTGCAGATCAAGAGTCTGTGATGCTTGCGATAGAAGATGGGCGAGTGAATGATACTGTTGCTGTGCTTTTCCAGAGGGGACTGATGGCCCCTTTATAGGCGTTTGGGTGTCCATCACGGCGATGTTCCCCCTACTGTTCGATGAGCGCATTGCGTCCTTGGTACTCACAGGCTGCCAATCGAAGGCGTGTTCGGAGTAGAGAGACATTGCACCGGCTGAATGATGTGCATAGGGGAAGGAGAGTCGGAGCAAGGTTCGGGGAACGGTGGACCAACTTGGGCTCAACCACAGGTTGCAAGGTAAATTGGGTTGCCGTTGTCAAAGACAGTCCGATTGATGCTGAAATCCAATGAGAGGATCCTATCACCTTCAAAATGGGAGACCCTATCGTCGATCCAGCGAAATTTCAATATTTCCAAAATCCCCATGGAATAACACATCCAGTGGGGGGCAAGAGGCTGAAGTTGGAAGGTGGCGGGAGGTGCGTTGTAATTGCTTTGTTCTTCTCATTGGCACAGGCTCTGCAGTAGAACAAAAGGCTATCAAAGATTCAGGGATCCAGGGGGCTCTTGCGGCCGGAAGCTTGAATCAAGGCTTGTGAGTGGATGCTATAAAGGGACTACTCAACGAGGAAATAAGGGAGCAGATCTTGAGATAAAAGGGAAGGCCAGCTATCTCGGTACGCTCCGCGCCTTCCCTTCGTCCACACCCTGTATTTTGTCACCTTCCCCATTGGGCAAGGGCGCTTTCACATGGGCGGTGCGCAAGCAGGATATCTCTGGCGAATCGGAACTTTAGCCGGAATTATGTACTTGCCTCGGTACGGTATATATAGATGTACGGTACCTAACAAGGGGTGGCCCGCAGAAAATAACTTTGCCGCCGGGAGATTCATATGCAGAGCATACCTCCGATTTCGGGTACCTGCAGAAGGGGCAGGTAAGCCTTTGTCTCCCTTGCGATTGCTATCGATCACCTCGGTATACCGGTATCAGTATCGCTGCACAGACACGGAGTAGTCATTGATCCCCACCTCGGAGCAACGCCCCCACAGACAGCAGATCAGGAGATGATTGGGGCGGCATACCGACTCAGCAAAGGGGAGAACTCAGAGGCGCAGCAAGGCCGCCACTCGGTCACAAGAATCCCACGTCCTGCATCCTGCATCCTTCATCCTCGCTGAGTGCTCCGCGTTGTTGTTTTCTTTCGATGCTTGATCAAATGCGGTGATGGCCGACATTTGATTAACATTAGCAGAACCAACATTCGTAGGTAGATTGGCAGGTCACGCGAGGAAAATAAAAAATAGCTGAATGTTTTCGCAATGCTTTGGAAATCAGTCTCATGTAGATGGCAAAGTGGTCTGAGTGCTGGGAAACACGACCTCTCAAATATCCCGCAGCGTGTGCCTTTGATCTGTCATGATTCATTCCAACTTGGTGCCTCCACCAAACGCCGATGACTTCTGAATTGTTCATCTTAGACCCTTGCGCTCGCAGCTTCACCTTCCTGGTCTCGTAACCCAAAAAGCGAGAGCATTACAACACCTTAAAACTTCAGCGGTTGATTCAGATCCACCTGCGAGCCAACGGAGAGTTGGGGTATCTGTTTGTATTTCCCCAGCAACAATTGCCTCGTATTTTGCAAAACCTGCAAGACCAGGTTAGTATCCACTCAGACCTATACCACAACGATGCACATACCTCGACATAACTCTGGCCCGGCCTCGAGTAAAGCGTCTCCAACAACGCCCAACTCATAGCTCCCACATGGCTTCCCGCAATATTTGCATCTGCACTCGTCTGATCGTCTCTACATCCACTGAACATGAACACACTCCTTCCCTCATGCGCCCAATCCTCCTGGAAATGCTCTTCCCCCAATCCCTCCTCCTGATGTTCACCCCTATGCTTCAGCCCCGAGAAGAAAGATTGTGCACCGGCGAACAAAGCTTTCGCGTCGTTGATTTTACTAGCCGAGAAGCCACCCTGTAAGAGACCTTGGGCGTGAGCCAACAGGCTGATGCCTTCCTTGACGCTGTCGACTAGGGTGACGTTGCCGTCGGAGTCTGTGCGGTAGACGAAGGGAAGTTCGATGGCGGAGCCTGAGTGGCAGCAGTCAAATACTACGAAAAGACTGCTGGTGGGATGAAGCTTCGACACAAGATGTCGGTGTAGGGTATCGCTGTCCAATTGCCCTTTCGTCTGATAGTCGACAGGGACAATCGTATCATCGTATCCACTTTCTCGGTCGCCATCTGGATCTCTGACCTGGCCACCGTGGCCAGAGTAATGTAGAAAGCATTGTGTATTTGGCTCACTGACGAGCCAGTCCATTGCGGCCAGGATGTTGTGGCCTGAGGCGTAGAAGGGGCCCTGGCGGTCGTCGGTGAGGATGACCATACTGCGCTCATCGGTGGGGTAGCCGCGGGAGATGAGGAATTGGGACTATGAAGGTCTCAGCATATCATGGTTGGGAGGTGCGTGGTGGTCCGAAGTACCATGTTGCGGACATCTTGCCGGCAGCCTCGAAGGGCGCTTTGCTGGCCCTCGTAGTTGATGCCGATGAGGAGGGATTTTCGGTGGGTGGTACGAGGACCATAATTGTTCTGGTAGCCTTGGGGATTGTATTGTGACATCTTGCTCAATGCTCTTGTTGTTGCGAAATGTGGAAGAGTATCTAGGTAGGATAATGATCAGCTCACAGCCCTCTGCCTTCTTTGGTTATAGCGCCACCAGATTGCTAGCGTGGGTCTGTAGGGCTGATCAAGCATGGCGGGACAATGTAAAGGTCACCAGAATGCCAAGACTTGCTAGGGCTACAGTCACAGCAACCAAATCCTGTGTCCACACGGTAACGAAGTTTGAAATGCTACGTATCAAATGGTAGAATGCCGTTGAAATCGGGCTCATGGTAGTACTAGAAAGGGTGTTGGAAAGGATAGTAGACGCAAAAAGCATCGTTTTCAACAGCAGTTGGTGTAATTAGCCTTGGCAAATCTTGATTCCGGTGACTTTTGTCTTGTCGCCCACTGGTGGAGCCATAGTTCAAGTGCTTTCCAAGACAAATTATTCTCGCATGCTGGACGCTAGATGCTTGCGCTGTATATCTCTTTTATATCTCTACAATATCATGTGCCTCAGGACAGAGATGGTTTTAGTCGGTGAGAAAAAGACCGCATGAGCCTTGATGTAGGATGAATTTTGAGCCAAGGGCAAGGAAGTTGTCACATCATAGCGAATATCTTGCGGTTGGATGCAAGCATCTTTTCTTGAATCAATACCGGTCATGATCTCTTACTCAAACTGTCTCGCGTCTCCTCTCTTTCGAAAGTAATCACTCGGGGTCCCCTTCTCGAATGTTCCCCTGGCATTCAACATGCAGTCAGCTCGGTCATCCTGCATGAATCCTTCCACAGAACAGCCCTACATCAACTCCAACATGTCGATAGTACGGAGGAGGGTAAGCATCGCTTTGCAAAGCGAGATCATCTTCTAGTCTCTTTGATCTACTAAACATGGCATCCAACACCTTCGACATCGACGCCCTGCTCAAGATCTACGGCGCCAGCCCCGACTACCGTCCCCAATTCGAACACCGTGTTAACATAGTCAAGTCATGGAACATCCTTCCCGGCTCTCGTGTCCTTGAAATCGGTCCAGGCCAAGGCGACTGCACCATCGTACTCGCAACAGCAGTGGGTGAGAGCGGACACGTCGACGCTGTGGATCCTGCTCCTTTGAGCTACGGTACGCCTATTCTTCCTGAGCCTCGCACGTAAAATATCTTCTTTCCCTTCCATAACATCTCACCTTCCCACTCAGGCTCCCCCATCACAATCGGCCAATCCCAAGCCCAGCTCTCCGCCTCCCACCTCGGTCCCCGCATCAGCTGGATCGAAGACTCCCCGGACCACCACCTCTCCACCAACCCAACCCCATACACCCACGTCATCCTCTTCCACTCCCTCTGGTACTTCTCCTCCCCCTCCACCTTCCCCTCCCTCCTGCGCCTCCTCCCCGCCCACACGACCCCAGCCGCGAGCCTCTGCCTCGCCGAATACGCCCTCCGCGCCCCGTCGCTAGCCTCGGTCCCGCACGTGCTCGCGGCCCTCACTTCGAGCAGGCTTCAGGCCGAAAGGGGGAGCGAGGAGAGGAATGTGAGGAATATCAGCGGCCCGGAGTGGATCAAGGATGCGGCGGGGAGGGAGGGCTGGGCTGTCAAGGATGAGAAGGTGGTGGTGCCGCCGAAGGGGCTGCAGGATGGGAGGTGGGAGGTTTTGGGCATACTGAGTCAAGGGTTCGAGAGGGAAGTGCAGGAGGTGGTGAAGCGGCATGAAGGTCTGGGAGGGGTTTTGACGGGTATGAAAGAGGCTGTGGTGGGAGCTTTGGAGGCGGTGGAGGGTGGGGTCAAGGGCGTGGAGACGATGAGCGTTTGGGTTGGGAAGCTGGATAAGGGACAGGGGTTGTAGGGTGTTGAATGAGTGTTTGCCCGTGGAAAAGTTTTACCCTTCTTGCATTCCCAGGCCGTCTGGCAAGTCTTTACATGTCACTTCTTTGCTGTGCTTACATCCGTTCGCTTCGTACAATGGCCGCCCTACTGCTACTAAAGAAAACGGCTGCTGAAAGACTTTCAGACCTGTCATTTCTTCATCCTCACTACATCATTCGCTGCCATGTCTGGCACTTCGACACATCACCTCCCCGCTGCGCTTGCACCCACTCACACTGTATGCTAGCCGCGCCGTCATGAGCCAACAGAGTCGCATTCACACCCGCCGGCAACGCATTCAACCCAGTCGCATTCCCCACCCCATCTCTCCTCTCCATCCCCCCACCCCCATCCATGCCCCTCGGACTGTTGTCCAAAAGGAGACACCGCGCGTGCCTTTCGCCTCGTTTTGCGTCGCTGGAACGGGTTGATGGATGGCACGGTTGGGGATATTGAGAAATAAGCCCGGCCCCCTTGGGACGACCGGATGGGGTCCTGCACGCAGAAGTCCGCGAGGGTCTCAAAGGCTGCGGTGAGCTGGGCCCGGGTTAGGGTCCACGGAGACGGGGGAGGATATGACTAGGGTGCAGGTGTCTAGAGCGCGGGGCACGGTAAGCTGGTGCGATGATGGACGAGTGGGAGGAGCGGTGGAGGTGCGGTGTCTCGGCGCGATCGGCAGGGTTTGCTCAGAGCTTGACTACTGTGCTGTGGTCTAGATACTTCCCGCAGATGATGTTACTTACTCGAAGAAAAGAACTTCGTCGTCCCCGGATGCAGGACGACGTTCTGGCCTGCACTCCCCAAGCCCTGCCATTCCAACTGATCGCAATCAGCGACGGAAGGAGCTCCGAGGCTCCCGTCGCACTCATAGCTCATGTCACTGATCTCGGAATCCGTACCCACATCATCCCAAAAGGTTAGCGTACCGCCTCGCTCCATATGTTGCGCACGGCTGTCCAGGTCGAGTGCAATTGTAGCGAAATAGTTTACCAACCCTTCGTCCTGAAAAGATATACCACGCGTAGCTGCGAAGTTTGAGATGAGAGCGGCTGTCTTTGGATCCGTGTCGCCGGGTATCATTCGCTTGCCTTGCCCCGTGACTGACACGTTGATGAAGGCGCCATCGCGAAGGTCTTTTTTTTGCGCGGTGAGTAGGAATATTTCATATGACGGAATGGTATCTGAGAGGGTTCACGTACAAGCGGCTAAATCAGAACGTTCGAGTGGACTTCCAACCATGTTGGTCACTGAAACCCAGCCATCAGTGATAAAACCACCGATGCCACCTCCTCCGACTACGCATTTGTCGATGATGTAGCCTGCCATGCCACGAACGTGGTTGGGTACGATGCGAAGGAAATTAGGTGCACTGAACTCTGGCCCAGCGGCTTCTACGGAGATGGTACACGTTCCTACGTCTTGAAGTCATTCCGCGGATGGCATCGTGGGGTTTGCTTGACGCAGTGTGCCAACCTTGCGTGAAGGATATGGGTACCGTGACCGCACCGCTTGCTTCCGAGCCTGGATACCCTCCCCCTAGGTAGTAAGGGACCGCGATCATCCCTTCCTGCAGGTTCTCTTCTGAGCCCTGATAGCAATCCGGCGCTGCGATTCGAGAACCCATGACTCGAGTGAAGTCACACTCAGCCCAGTCCGGAGCCACGGGGCGGACGATGGGTAGTGGCAGCGTCTGGAGACTGAGCATGATTAATGGCGAATGACTGCGACGGGGACTGGATACCCTGCAGAGGACTGTGAAAAGCTGCGGAGATTAAAGGTCCGACAGTGCCAGGAAGAGAATCGTGCTGATGTCCGAGGGAACTTCACCGCTGAAGCGTCGGGAAGCCTTTGGTCTTCGTGACGATGCACCATGATATATATGAAGCGTCCACACTAGTGTCACGCTCAGACATTCGTTTGTGGCTTTCCCGAGATTTTTGAATCGATGAGGAAGCGTTGACTGATGTTGAGAAATGCATCTTTCATCTTGCTAATTCAATAGGTACCAGTACTCTTGACCCTTGTACTGCCTCACGTTGATAGTATGTCTATACTTATGCTCAGTATTTGGCACACATTTGCAGAATTCCAATTCCTCAGCACAATCTGAGGAGGCAAAAATGCAAGCACAGGCAGGATGAAAAAATAAGAAGCACCGCAACACCATTGTACCAGCGCCATCAGGAATCGAACCTAATACGAAGAAAATATCTCCGCCAAACAGGATGAAGACAATGTTCACCAGTTGTTTTTTTGGACAGCAATGGCTCCTTATGTCGACTCCGCTATTCTCAATCTAGACGTGCCAAGCCGGACCTTCGGACAATTGACAGTCCGGGTGATATACTATTTAGCATTTCCATCCAGCACATCAAGTTGTCCAATATCCTTCACCATTTACGTCGCTTCACATTCCAGTGAAACCTGCCCAACAACATGCCTCGCCCACCTATCTCCTTTGGTCGCATCTGCTTAACCGTCTCCGCCGTCGTCACATCCATCGGTACCTACGCTGCAGATTGGAGCGAATCTCACCTCCTGAACCCACGCTGGCCTCCTCATGCCAAATTTCACAATGGCCAGACCATGTCGTTCGGTCTTGCTTTAGGCATCTTGACCCTATATTATACCTGGCGCCCTACAGCTCAGCCCAAGGACTCGTTGAGAACCGCGGCTATCTTGGCTAGTCTGTACTATGTTACTGGGCTCAGTGGGATTCTCTATCCTGGGGCTCTCGGGGTTGATCCGGAGTTTGGCGAAGGCTTTCCTCAATTCTGGTTGTTCACGGCGTTCACTGGGCTGCCGTGGTTGGGGTATCTGCTTGAGTCGAGGAGGTTGAGGAGATAGACGCTGTGTGAATTCTGCCGTGAGACCGACCAATGCTTAGACAAACCTTTGTTCGCTGATCGGTCGCGGATATCTACAGGCATAGGCTACGTGATTTTGTAGCTGCGGGCTTGTAGCACGGGTTGCATCAGCTACACTGAGTCCTCGCTTCGTAGCACATATGTCTCACCCACAAGTCGTCCCCTCCTCCTCCTCCTCCTCCTCCTCCTCCTCCTCCTCCTCCTCCTCCTCCTTCCCTTCTCTTTCTTTTTCTTCTCCTTCCCTTCTCCACGAACCCCCCCAACTCCTCACTACGAGACTCATCAACTTACTCTCAAGCCTCAGCGATCCTGACTGGCATTGACGTCCCATTCCCTGAACCAACTTCCTCAAGCAGGCCTGTACGATCAGGAGGACCCGGAGGCAATGTAAATCCGATGACAACGACTTTCCACCCAACCCCATGCCCAATTGGCGCGAATCCCCCGCAACCGCCATGATCCTGACAAACCTCCAGTATCTCAGTTGCCAAAGCTCTAGCCTGCTCAAACGAGAAGTCATCGATGGTATAAGAATCTCCCGAAGCAATCTGCACTGCGCAGGTACTCTGTGTTTGGTGGATGGCGTATGGAGGCTTAGACGGTAGCTTTGGGTATCGGCCTTCCATGAAATCTTGGATGAGGCGATAGTTGGGAAATGTACGGAAGTGGTTGAGTGTAGGACGGCAGCCGTCGACGTCTGTGGCTTTACGGTCTACGCCAGACGAGAAACACTCGATGGCGCCTATGGGTGGTGGTGGTAGCGGCGGAGCTGTCGTACTGTTTGTTGGTACCGAAATCTGATGGACGTCACCAGATACAGTCCGTGGATAGATCTTCTGCGCCTCTCCAAGATCCTGTGCTTGAGGGTACGCCGATACCGCTAAGCCCCAATTAAATAGTATTGCAATCGTAACGAAGCTCTGGAGAGCCATGGCGCTTCAACAGGCCGGAAACACGGTTCACGGAAATGCAACAAAGCGACGAAGGTAAACCATGGACGTCACAAAATACTTTTCGGTCAAGCCAAAGCTGTCGTCATCATAGACGAGTACGGTGAGAATTGGGCAAGTCAACGACAGCGATGGTTCGTTCGAACCTCCAAAAGTGGATGAAAGGGTACGAGTATCCCTCTTTGGGCGTGAGAGGATGAAGATGCTCAGATCACGCGTCCGTGGTGAGAGACTCTGCGCACATATAGCCATGGCTCGCGAATCGCATGTCATAGAGGCGCCAACCGATTCGTCTTGCTTAAAGGTTTACATGCGCAGGCGCTTGAGGTCTTTTAGACTTTAGTACCCAGTCCGTAAGAATGACCGGCTTCGGTACCGTGGTTGCCAATCAGGACCCGACATTACTACACCATGTCTGCATTCGACACATCGTACCCCGAGACAGCGACCTCAAACGCCATATCCTATCCAAGGCTATCATCCAGCTATCGTTTACGGCCTATGGGCGGCGTACTGTTGATCCCGTGCACCAGATCTGCTACCAAGATCGCCAATTACGTTCCTCACAGCTACCTCAATCCAAAAGAAACATTCTTGGAGAATCCCCAGATAATCGAATTGCCAACGATCTTGATCTCCTCCGCAAGATCATGCGCATCCTTCCGTGAACGAACCACTTCTCACCACAACTTCCCACTGACATCCTAAGCCACCGAGAAGCCGTGTCCGAGCACTCAAGCCATGGATGATAACTGCAATTAACCACGGCTCCTTTCCAGCAGACACGCCCTCTCCTGTGCCTTTGCTGAGGTGCGTTAGCCTTTACTGCACTTCGCAATATCGTTCGCGTGATGCAATCCCAACCAGCTTGCCTGGCGTTAGCAACAACAACTCACAACACCAACCAGAACGAAAAACGGCAAGTTGCCTGCGGCCAGCTTTAACCACGAATGCCTTAAGCAGTGATGATGAGTCCGAACGCACGCTTGAAGTCATACCCATCAGACTCCACTCTGAACCCCAGCGGAAGACCCCAACCCAATCGAACCCTATGCTATCACGGCCACGTTGTACACGGTCTCGACCAACGCTACCCCTGCTCCCCTCCGTGCGAACATGCTTTCTTTCACCATCATCTCTTTATTCATTCATTCAATCCGTCGACCGCGGTATGCATGTCCCGTGGCCCAAGGGAGCGAGTATGTATGTATGTATGTACGTCAGCCGCGTGAAGAGATCGCGTGATGGGTGCATGCTCACATGCGGTCCTGCTTCCTCCCTTTCTGCCTGATCGACTGACTGATGCGTTGCGTGTGCTATTGGGGAAGTAAACGTCGTTCAGATGGAAAGGGTGCATCGTGGCTAAAGGGGGACATGCATTCGCTTATTCACTCGCGCGCTTCGGTGTCTGTGTACGCGGGTGTAGAGGAGCGAGTTGTGGGGCTGTGGTGGTCGCTTGCTTGCTGTTGGGTTTAGTATGGGGCTGGTGTTGTGTTGTGTGATGTTCTGTCTCGCTGGTTGGGTGGGTGGGTGGTTGGTAGGTAGGAGAAAGAATGGGTGGTCTGGTTTGGGGAGCATGTTGGAAGGGAAATCGCTCGCTTGCATTGATGGATAAGTTGTCGCTCTCACTCGTTGCCCTCGTTTGCTGGCTTGCTTGTTGGCTTTTGTGTGATGTAGGATACGTCTACCTGAAACTCATATATTCAATTCAATCCAAGTCAATCAAATATCCAGAAGATACACTCCCGGCCCATGTCTACACATCTAACAGGATCTGCTATCCCAAATATCCTGCTTTCTCCCCCCCCCTCCCTCCTTTCTTTCTCGCCGTCTTCTAGCTCGTGTTCAATTCAGTAAAAAGCAAACAGGCAAATCAAGCTCGTGGTCCACGCATAGATGATGTTTTTCCTGCACCGTCCGCTCGAAGGAGCTGGTGGTTGGAACTTTGCGCCAGGCAGGAGAAACGACCTAGTATCGACCGCTCCCTCCCCCTCTCTCTGAAACTCGCTCATCCACGCCTTACCCCTATCCGTTCGCTCAGTCGTGGGTCTGGTGCCGCGGACCGTCGTCATTCATTTCTTGCGCTCGAGACGCTGACTCGAGGACCGTGAGTCGATGCAGCCCTCGTGGAAACCGGCGTCTTGGCGTTAGTTCGTCTGGTTCCTTCTGGATTTTTGCCGAGCTCGACGGTGGCCGCAGTGTGCGATGTATTCGGCTTCGGGATCCGGCCGCTTTGAGAGCGCTTGCTTGTCGGAGTCGGATTCTCGGGGCTTTTCTGCTTCTGCAGCGGGTTCTGCTTCTGCTTCTGCTTCTGCTCTTCCGGCGCTGTTGCTCCATGAGTCTGTTCCGGCGACTGAATTTCTGCGTCAGAGTCTGTGGGATCGTTGTCCCGGTCGTCCAAGGCGCCCGGCTCAAGCTCTTCGGTCTCCTCACATTCCTGCATCTCCGCCCCCTTTGCCTTCTCGAATACCTGCTCCAATCCCTCAATGTATTCGATGGTTTTGTAAACGACATCCGAGTCGTTCCCAAGACACACCACTTCCTCCTCCAGCTCCAAGTGCGCAAACGTCAACGCTTCCTCGAAATTTCCCCGGCCCCGGAGATAGTCCGCTGCGTCGCGGTACGGCGTCATCAGCTCCCCATGCAATTTTTCCTCCTTGATAAGTTCTATCAGTTGCAAGACCGGCATTAGAGGGTCTTGCAGTCCGTAGACCAGCAGCGCCTCGTTCAGCATGGACTGAAACATGATGATCTGGTCGTTGAGAGCCTTCATGACGAGACGGCGCGACTCGCTCGCTTTTCCGGAGGCGGTTTCGGTCTGACATGCCGGGCAACCGCAGTAGAAATTGTAGATGCGTAGCTCGGATTGGCGCTGGTCTCGTGTGCAGAAGGCGCGTCCGTAGCAGATTGTCATCTCTTCGCCTTTTGGAATGTCGGTCATGCTGTGCAGGACTATCTCATCGCGCTTTTCGCTCCAGGAGTAGTAGATGTTGGGGAGGCAAGAGTGGTTGAATCGTGTCGCGGTTAAGAACATGGCGGCCGCGGACCCAATGTTGAAGCAATTGGCCTCGAAAATACACATGACGTCGATCATGTTAGTATTGTCCGAGCGATTGGGGCAGTGCAACTGCATATACTGTTGTCGTCTTGCAAAGGGCATGCGCTCAAATTCTTCGAGGACTGTTCGAGCATTGTATGGCTTGGTGACAACGAAGAATGGCTTATCGACTAGAACGCGTTCTCCTTTGACGACGTGTCGAGCAGCGAAAACACCCTGGCCTTTTCCCGGCGATTCTTTGATTAAATAGGGGCAGATTGGGACCGGAGACTGGTAGGGTTGCATTGATTCCCCGCCATCCATGAGCATGGCGTCTGTGACGGCCGGGCTAGCTGCAGTCTCCTCCAATGGCAGCTGACAGTCATATCCTGCGGCGAGCCAGATGTTGACGATGGCGTCCATATCAAGCACTTCAGATTCTGGGAAATTGACAGATCCATCGTTCATGGCCTGGGGAGAAACCTCTGACGAAAGTATACCCCATAGGATTGCAGGGCCGGCAAATGGCCTTTCTGCAGTCTCGTTGGGTTGGGCGATTTCCGGTTCTTCCTGGAATGCCAGGCCCGTGGTTGCGGCATCCAGTGAGCCATTTTCAGCTTCATTTGCCTCGCCGCATTCAGAATCTCCCTTGCACTCTGAGATCAGGATACCCCAGAGAATGGCCGGGTTGAGAAGCATTTGACCTTCCTATAATCCCTCGGCTTTAGACGTGTTGAAAGCCATGGCAGGGTTTGACCTACCATGGCGCCAATCCTTTCCCGCTGCTGCTTAGAGTAGATCTTCGGATGCGGTAATCTTCTCTATAGCAGATAAATGCAGACAACGCAACAATTCAAGCCGTGCGACAGTGGACAATCTAGAAGCCCAATGCTCAGGCTTGGATTTGCTGAACGGCGAAGACAGTGCTAGCCGGATATAGATCAATGATAGCGATACCACACTGAGGCAGACTCTGTCGCAGTTTGACGGTATCAGAGCTGTCGAAATGGGCAGGTTGTCCGAGGTCTTGTAGCTGCAGAAGCTGTATCCACTGAGAACACAGAAGTGATCGACGGAGAAGTGATGACCGACTAAGAAGGTTTAAGAGAATGGTGATGGAGAGAGTGAACACGGGAGAGTGCTCGTGAGATCGACAAAGAGAAAAAGTGATCAGAGAGAAGGGTGTCGGAGAGGAGTAGTCAAAAGTAGTCAAGTGGCCGATGGAGAAGAGAAGAAGATTGAGAGGTTGGCTGTAGTCCTTCAGGTCAAGTTTGTATCTGTTAGAGAAGCTTCAGTTGTTTCTTCCCAGCAGATATCTCACAGGCAAACCCGTCCATGGCAAGTGCAGATCCAAGCATGGACCTTCAATCGCAAAGCCTCGTAAGCACCATACTCTCACTCTGCAGAGCGACGACATCATGGAGAGTGACAAAGCCTGCTAGGACATTCATCACTTTCCAGAGGTTGAAGAGTCGTAGTCCCGAAGAAGATTAGCGGCGGTACTGGTACAGTGATTGAGGGGCAGATTCTGACCAACTGTGACTCTGTCTCAAAAGCGACCTGTCTCGCAAATTCTGTACTTTCTGGCGTACCGGTAGACGGAACGTCTCAATAGAGAATGTCATATACAGGATTCTAGTCGTTTTTAGAAACTTTAAACTTGCTGATAACTCACTCGCAGATACAGTTCATTGGGTTCTTGACGAGTGGCCCGGCCCGTTGCTAAAGACTCTGAGTGGTCAGTGGCAGAGCTAAACGTCCGTTTGAAAACCCTCACGCTTTGCGTACGATCCGTACAATCGGCAAAACAGATCTCGTATTCAGGCTGGGTCAGGGGTAGACCCTCTGCCAGGAGCCCCCGCTGGGATTCTAGGGGTTTAGAATTCAGTATCAACTATATACAGCTATTGGCGATTGTCGTATAACACGGTTCATTCTTCAACGGTACAGCCCACTGGCCGAGAAGGCGATATTGGTCAATGGGCTGTATCATTGGCCAAAGGGGACTTCCTTGTGAGTGGGCTACAACAGATCGGCTCGAAAGGTAGGAGACATCTGTGCTATCGAAAGTCTTGAGTTCTTCTCAAGCATTTCCAGCAACAGCCTCTTCAGCGGGATCCTGATGCATCTTCTCCTTCGTCTCTTGATCTTGTCCCGGGTCCTGACCCTCGTCTATCTTCTCTGCCTGGGATCCTGTTTGCATTTTACGTATCTGTTCTTCCTCTTCAGCGCGATCCCTCGTGTCCACCGTGCCGTTGTACTCCTTGTCCATCCTCTCCATCAACTCCTGACCTGGCAAAAGCACGGCCCGATCAATCGCCATCGGCAATCCTCTGTGGCGGCCCCTGAGCATCACGATGATCAATATGAGCTTACTCACAGTATGCCATGCGCCACAGAAAGAGTACGTGTCATATGGAACCCCCGTGCTCTCACCGACGTTACCGAATGCGGAGACGGTGTCGAAGAAGACGGCGTACAGGTCGAAGCCCGGGGATGGGATTGAAAGTGCGTCGCGCTCCACGATACAGATAAGGAAGAAGCTGATGAAGACCCACCATGCGTCTGAGGTGAGTTGTCTTTGCAAGTGCGTCTGAAGAAATCAGCCGATACTACTTGATAAAACAAACAGCAACGACGCTTACTCCAATGTACGAGCGCTCCGACGCGATTTCATCATCCGCTTTCCCCGGTACCTGCACCCCAAGCGATCTTTCTTCGTATATATTGGTCGATCGGATCGACATGATGATTGGAAGTCCTGATATGTACATTGCACCAGTGTACAATACCAACAAGGCAGGGGCAATCTCGCTGAAGTTGATAATGTACATGCCAGCTGTGCGCACGCCTGATGCTTGGAATAGCCCACAGATCGTTCGATTTCCGGGCGGTAGGCTTGTAATTGTGGGGTAATCAATCTGGAGAAGAATCCAGAAGATCCAAAGTAGGAGATGGAGCGAAATTTGAACGGCGGTGAGATACCATGTGTTGATGGACGGGAAGAGGAGAATAAAGCAGCGACGTGGATGCTGGAGCAGGAACGTGAGACTGTGGTGTAACTTTGAGTGCGTAGGGACGATTTTGGCCGTTGTCCATATTGTGAGTCGCAGGAAGCTGGGGAACAAGGTATTTCCTGCCACTGTTTCACCACCAATAACGATCAACGCGAGATAGAACCCTTGGAACGCTAATATGGTGTCAGCACCTGAAGCTACGAACAACAATCTTTGACCTACGGATCATGCTTTGATTGAGCAAGTCAAGCCCACAGTTGCTGTAGGCGGAGACGACCAAAAATGAAGGCCCACCTGGCCAGAAATCAGCAACTTCGTGAGCCTTCCTCGTTTTCCAGGTTGCCACTTGCCAGCCAGGGCTAAGGTTGCCGGGTTGTTGATATCGAACGATATCTGCAACGCTATCCTTGTAACTCCATGGAACCATTATCGCCAAGGCCAATGCAAGCCAAAAGATGGTGTAGACAGGCAACAGCCACATAAGGACACCTAACGCTCGGTACTCCACACCACCAAGCTCTTGAGCCTCGCGTTCACTGAGGGAGTGGAAGCGACCCTACTCACTGTTAGGTCTAGATTGTACACTGAGGTGCAAGATCGTACTTTTCGGTCGAACGATGGCTTGAATGAAAGGTGGTGGTGCGGTCGTTCTCGGATCGGACGGGCTGGAGCTGTGAACTTGTGAACTTCGAAGTGAACTTCCTACTGATCTCCCACTCCCATGGGTACGGAAGTCCACCATGACCGATCTCGTGGTGGCTTCTGCGCTTCTGAGTCGTGCTGGTCTGTGATGGGTGCGTGCCACCACCTCGAGGTCGTTTTTGGATGCCAGAAGAAGTGGAATGACTAGCACCGGTGGTCAAAGATGCCACTTTGCCGCTCTCCTCTCTACCAATCCCATCGACGATCTCCCTTGCAGCCTTGGAGTGTTGGAGAAAGTGCTTCATATGCTTCCGGAAAAAGTGCCGCCTTAGCCAGGTTGTAGCGTGAGCAGTGATGGTCACGTTGCCGAGTAGAACAAGAAGAAAGAGGATGGACTGCTGGAAGCCCGTTATGTCGCTCAGATTGACCGTGGACAAACCTGTGGCAGTCATGGCACTTGTACAAAGGAAGATGGCGTCGATGTAGCGAAGCTTGAAGAGGGCTTCGGCATCGCCACTGTTACCGTTGACGCCGCTACCGTACATGATGACAGACGAGAGGATTATGGTCAGGACGAAGTAGATGACGTGCACGCGATAGAAATTCGTTTGGAAGCAGCCACGTCGGCTCAAATAGGGTATCATGGCCCTGACGCGATCCATGATGGCGATAGTGGATTGAGAGTACGAGGAAGGCAGCAACTTGGAGCAATTGGGGAAAACAGGCTATCAGAAGAGAAGGGAAAAGAGAAAATTGACAGATGTGCTGATGCCGGTGAAGGCATCCCTTTGGCCAAGACCAAGGTCCCAGGGGATGCGCACATGGCGACATCATCGTGGTCGCAAATCATATGCGTCATGTCGAGAGGCATCTAGATAAGGTATGTACAGACCGAAGAGATACGAATGAATGCAATGCAATGCAATGCAATACCAAGAGAGGAAGGAGAAGGGAAAAAAAGGATATGACGTCAAGACATACTTATCGTGTGCTCAAACAAAACGATGCAACTTTGATGGGAAAGAGGTTCCCTCGTTCCCCTTCCACATGGCATGGCATGGCATTCATGATGCGGGAAGCCCGTGTATGTTGGACCCGAGCATCTGCGTACCCAATATGCACCTAGGCTGCATAAGGCTCATGCATGGCAACGTTCGGGTGCGGGGCTCCAGGCTTAAAGACTCCCTCAACTCTACGGCTTAGTGTTGTCGGTGGAGATTTAGTTCGTAACAGGTTCGATTCCTATTGGCGCTGGTACAATGGTGTTGCGGTGTTTCTTATTTTCTGGCAGCGCCAATACTGCAGTGTTGTCGTTATATCATCTTCTCCGAAATCAAGATCGTGGGTTTCAATCCCGGTTATATTTTGATCTGGCTTGGGTGCAGTAGCGGGAGTGATCATCCTTGCCGTGTGGGGGTACGCGTCTATAGTTGCTGTCAAGGTTAGAGGTATCTAATTCGCAATCGGTTCGATTCCTATTGGCGCTGGTACAATGGTGTTGCGGTGTTTCAGCACATATTTTCTAAGAGGCTTCCCTCCCGCATGGGCACCCAGGATGCGGGAGGCCCGTGTACTCGGGCCTCTGCGTAATACAATGGTACAACACTACAAGGTTATGCACCTAGGCTTCTTGAGGCTTGAGGCTAAAGATCCCCTAAACCCTAAGGCTTATGATCGTGGGGGCGATACACTCGTGTGGCTACTATTGATGATGTAGTCTTTCTTAGCATCTGGCAAAAAATGCTCCACCAATTGAGTTATCATTCAATTCACTGAAGGGTTCTCGGTGAGGGCTCCATGACCGGGAGAGAGTATTTTAGGTTACGCTCGAGGGTGGTTCCTCAGTCAAAGAGGCGTACGGCCTAAACTACTCTAAGGGCGGTTCTATTGGGTGAGGATTTCAGGTCCACGGAATGTGGCCTCGGTGGTATTCTCATGTGGTGGGACAGGCTCCCCTAACTCCTCTTGTAAAACAATAAAAACAACTTCAAATCTTAGAGGGTTCCATGACCGATATGGACTGGTGGGTACTTCCCCTGTGAGAAGGTCCTTCTCGTTTCAGTCCGCCAGGTCACATCATCTCCTCGGGCTTGTTTTTCTTTTTCTTCTTCCTTTTCTTTTTTTTGGTTTTGGGAATCATTCCTGTATGCAATCTAAAGCCATGACGATCATGATAACAACATGATCATGGGCCTGGTCCGCTACACAGCGGTCTTCGCCACCCTTTCGGCGTACAACCTATCGGACTCAGTCTCCTAGCATGGAGAGTATACCCAGTCATCCTCGTAGACCTCAAATCAATAGACATCATCGTAACGTTCGACATCTAACCCTCCTCGTATTCCTAGAAGCTATTGTTTCCTCCGCTCTGTTTTCCTTCCGTTCTTCGTAATCATCCTCTAAGAAATCGTAGATTAGTTCTTTCCTTGTATCTATAGCCAGCCGACTAGTGACGTGCAGCTCATTGCGTATGTGGTTCGCTGTCATATTATCCCGCCGGACTATCAAGAGTCTCGGCGTGAGAACTCTGCACAGAGGCGTGAATTCTGAAGAGAGAAATGGGCGTGGCGACAATAATAACGTTTGTGTAGCGAAGCTCTGGCACTTCTGTCTCGCTCGTGAGACATGTCGTTAAGATATCTTCAAGATTTACTTTTCCGGAATCTCTGTGCTCAGCAGTATGTACCATCAAATCTTACCATGGACACATATCTTCGTAAAATACGTACCACAGCTACGTTTCCATCGAATCAGGTATCAATCCATATACGCATTCCCACCGCACTTTTCAGGCAAAATCCTTTCTTACCTGGGGAGGAAAAAATACACACGCAACGACCCTGATCACATTTACCAAAATCATCGTTCTCGACAAATCGCAGCAGCAACCGAAGGATCAAGCCTCAGCATTGCGTACAGGAACCGCGCGGGACTTTTACCATCCGACTCACCCACCGAAAGAAGACGAGCACACACACACAGACGCAAATTCGCAAACAGATTCGAAACCGCCGTGACGTAGTGGCACGTAGCTGATAGGAGGGCAAATCCAACCAACCAAGCAACCACGCACGCACGCAAAGACGAACAGACACAGTACAGTACAGAACAAATAAAAGCATAAAAACATGATCGTAAAACCTCACAGAAACCCCACAGAAACCTCACAGAAACAACAAACCAACAAACAAACAAACCAACCAACCAACCAACCAACCCCAAAAAACCCCCAAAACCCCCCCCAATACTCACTCACTCACCCTACCACCCTACCACCCCGGCCCCCGCAGCCCCATCTCCCTCGACCGATACCACCGCCCATCCGCCAGCACCAGCACCCACCACTCCCCGTGCCGGTCCTGCCTCGTGCCGCCGAACCGGGCTCCTTTTTTCGCCTTCGCGGCGGCGTTTTTTGGCCTTGTGCTTGTGCTTGTGCTTGTGCTTGTCTTTTTGTTGGTGTTGGTGTTGTTGTTGGTGGTTGGGTGGTTGTGGGTGGGACTGTGGGTGAGAGGGAGATGTCAGCGTGTGTGTATAAGGGATTCCATTCGTGCTTTTTGGTTTCTTTTCCGTCTGTGTGTGTGTGTGTGTAGTGGGTACGTTGAGGAATAGGTAGGTAGGCAACGAAAAGGGCCAAAACAACTCTACTACTCACCCGCACCTCCACACCCTCCACCTCCACCATCCCCACCCCTATAATCCCCCTTCTCCGCCGCCGGAAAAACCCCGTACCCATTCTTCTTCTTCTTCTTCTTCCCCCCCCCCTTCCCCTTCTCCTTCCGCCAGGGCTTCTCCTTCCGTCTTTTTTCTTCCTTTCGCAGCCGCGGCCACCCCCTCCCCCCACCGCCCCAATCTCACTCAACGGCTTGAACCGGAACGGGGCCCTCGGTCCCGGTTCCGGCACGGGCTCCTCCCTCCGCGCGGGCTCCTCCCTCCGCGCCCCGGCGTAGACGGGGTTGGCGGCGAGGATGCGGCCGTAGCGGCCGGCGAATTCTTCTTCGGGGTGGGGCGGGACGGGGCCGGGCGGCGGGGGAGGGGCGCGAGGGAGGGGTAGGGGAGGAAGGTGGGGGGCGGGGTTTTGGGGGATGGGTCTGGAGATTTTGCGGGGGGGTTTGGAGGGCGAGGAGCCCATTTTTTTTTTTTTTTTTTCTGTTGGGGGGTTGGTGGTGGTGGTGGTTGGGGGGTGGTGGGGTGTGGGTTTGCTGGATGCTGTGGGTGTGGAGGGCTTTGGGGTGTGTGATTTTGATGGAGAGGTTTTTGATTGAGACGGATGGGAGGCCGTGAGGTGCTCTTCACTCGAAAAACGTTTTGCCATCGTGCGTTGTTGTTTGTACCTTTTGATGCGACTTTGTCGAGATTCCCTTGTCCTGTTGGCCGTGAGGGATGATGCTGGCTTTGATGATGGAAATGCGCTTTGTCATACCCTATTCGACGACTTCAATGCTGACTTAGTAGATAAAGAAATACCATCTGAGCTATTTTGTCCAATGCTGACCTAGTAGATAAAGAAATACCGTCTGAGCTATTTTGAAAGAGGACTGAAAGGCGCGACATAGGAAATGGTTTGATGAAAAGAGTAACTCTGTCTAGAAGTTTGAGACAAAAGCTATGTATAGTGGGTATCAACACTGATTGAGAAGAAAGTGTGGTTGTTATATAAATCATGAATTTCCTCATTAGTACATTATCCGTCCATGCTGTCCTTTTCGTTTTCAACACCGACTTCACCATTCTCAATGCCAGCCCCACCCTTCTCAACCTCACCAGCTTGCTTCTTCGGAGGCTTGATACTCTTCCATTCGATGCAAAGAGCGCCAATGATGGATAAGCATGCCATTGCCAGAGACACGGTGAACGTCTTTGTCAGAGCTCCATTGTAAGCCACAAGCACTCCATGAAGATTGGATGGGTCAACAACATGTCTTAAGTCGGTAGCACCCGTGTTGACAACGACAGCAGGACTGATGCCAGCGACACTCTTCAATCCGTTGACGAGTTGATTGGTGAAGACGCTTTGTCCAACCGAGACGAAGATGGCACCGCCCAGTTGTTGGCAGAACATGACAAGGGCGATACCGATGGGAGCATCCTTCCTAGAAAGAACCGCCTGCGCAGCCAAAGAAGCCTGTTGCATGCCCAGACCTAAGCCAAAGCCGAATATGACCTGGTATCCAATCCATTTCGGATGCAGAGTATCTGGTGTCCATGTGGTAAGCAGACCGGCGCCAATGGACATGATAATACTGTTGGCAATCATGAACGGCGAATAGTATCCAACCTTGGTGACGAGGATGCCAGCAGAGATACTCGAGACGACGACGGCGAGTACCAAGGGAATGGTGTCAATGCCGGACTTGATGGCGCTAACATCCTTGATAGCTTGGAACCAGATTGGGAGGTAGTAGATCAGGGTCATCATTGCTGAACCGACACAAAGTTGCGACCACATACCAGCGGCTATACTCCGTTGTGTGACGATGCGTGGAGGGACGGTGGCGGTCTCTCCTTTCCAGATCTGTACGCCGATGAAGACTGATATGCAAAGGACGAAGAGAATTAATAGGGCAATGATACGTCCATTGCCCCACGCGTAGGTTGATCCACCCCATTCCAGAGCTAGTAGAAGACAAACGATACCCGCGACGAAGAAGACGGTTCCTATAGGGTCAAGCTGGAGGACCTGCTGCCTCCACGGCGTGCCAGCTTTCTTGGCTTTTGGTATATGCAGGATGAGAATCAGAATGATGATGGCGGCACCGCCGATGGGAAGATTGATGTAGAAGCACCATCTCCAAGACACTTTTGTTGTGAAGACACCGCCCAACAGAGGACCGATGACGGAGGAAAGACCAAAGATTGCACCCATGAATCCTTGTAGAATCGGTCGTTTATGAAGGGGCACGAGGTTCATGATGATGACGATCGCTCCGGAAAAGATGCCCGAGGAGCCACTGCCAGCTACTGCGCGACCGATGATGAATGCAATGGAATTGGGAGCAGCGCCACAGATTGCCGACCCGACTTCAAAGACGCCGATGGCGCAGATGAAGACCCACTTGGGGTTGTAGAAAGTGTAGACCCGACCCATGAGGAGTTGGAAGGAGCATGCCGTGAGCATGTAGGCGCTGGCGTACCATCCAACGTCGTTGAGGGAGTGGAATTCATCGGTGATGGTGGGAATAGCGGTTGCGATGATGGTGCGGTCCTATTGTCTGATTAGGCAAGACTTGGTAGAGGCGCACTGAGTGAGGGGTCTCATACCAGGGCAACGAGGAAGAAGGCCAGGTAGAGGGCGATGACAGTGGGGATGAGCTTCTTGCGGCTGGGGTATTCTGGTTCCGCCTCTGACTGGTTCGTCTTTGCGTGAGTGAGTTCTTCCGCCGCCTCGACCCGTGACTCTTGTATGTTTTCAGCCATAGTCTCTTCATTTCCGGGAGGTGGTATGGAAGAGTCATCGGATTCGGTGTCGAGCGTCTTTCCCATTTCCATCTGGCCCTTCTCTTCAGCCATGCTCAGGTATGTCGGATGTGAATGAGGAAGGGAGAGGCTGAAGCGGGTTTTGTTTGTTGACTCTGATCAGGTAGGAGAGAGGATTCAGATGGGATTCGGAGGAGTCGAGGGGTAGCAGGTAGGTTGGAGCGAGTTGATACGGGGATGAATGTAATTGAGTGCGAGGCATGAGGAAGCGGAAGGCGAGCAGGTCTAAATAATAAATATGTTGACATGGGATTGGAAGATGATTCTACACCGTGTAAAGGAGTAATGTGTAGTATATAGTGAAATGGAAGGAAGGATCGGTCTTCGCATTGCGGACTCGTCATCTCCGTGACCGTACGTTTTTGGGTAATATGAGTGGATGAAATAATTATGCGAAGAGGAGGAAGCCGTACCATCACCTCGCACTTTCGGTACGGAGCTATGCCAAAGTCCGCAACCTCGCAACCTTTCCTTTTGAAGAGTGCCAAGACATCACTAGCAGGGAAGTGAAGCAAGGTTTGCGAGGTCGACTTGCTCAATATTTAAAGTACTTTATGTACTTTACTTTAGAGTAGTGTATTGTGTCAAGGTTCGGTGTCCAAAAGTATAATATATTTCCGACTTCACATATCCGCGAAGTAGTATTGTTGGATAATGTAAAGCTCTGCTAAAAGACGAGCTGAAATGTCTCACACTGAATTTCTGAAAGCAACTTATCACTCACAATCTGAACAACAACGCCGAGACATTTTGAAGCCTTGAAGCAAAGAATATTCACAAAGTCGGCAATGTAGGTATTTGACACCGACCCCTCGTGCATTAGTCTGCATTATCCGCACGATCTACGGACTAAGCTTTCTGCCCCACCTAAAGTTATTAAGAGAAGCAGCTACCTCAGCCCGATTTCACGTTTACACTCACACCTCACTCAGCAGTCGTTACTACCCTATACCATTGGATCTAGCTTATCATAGGGGTTAATTAGCTTGCTATACTACGAAAGCGGTTCTATTAGTACTTGCAGAAGGCTTCCTTAGCTATTTACTACGATGCTATTTAGTTTATAATATATATTCTTACTAGAGATATCATTTTTCAGAGATTTATTTTACTATAACTTTACTTACTATCTTGCTTATATATAGCTTTATAATACTTTATTAATCGGAAGCTTTATCTTATTTATATAAAAATAGTTAATAGATGTAACTTTCTTATAGACTTTTATAGCTAGTCTATATATAGTATAGCTTAACCTAATAAGATAAATATTCTACTATTATAGACTTTTATAGATTCTATATTCTTTACTACTTATATAGTAGAACTATTTTATTTAATTAAAGGTCTTATCTAGATAGTAATCGTAGCCTTATAAAGTAATTATTATTATTATATATTCGTTTAAAGTCTTTTATAGCCGTTTATTAACTAATTAATAATTTATTCTCTAAATTACTTATTTTACCTTAGTAAAGAGCTTGGAAAGCCTCTTTTATTATTACTATTTATCTTTATTAAACTAGTCTTATTTTAGTAATAATCTTCTATTAAATCTTATTAAGTCTATAGTAAGTATAATCTATAAGTTAATTAATCCTCGATTTATTTATAGTAATTACTTCTTTAATAATAAAGTATTTGCTACTTAATAGCTAAAATACTTTTATATTATAATATTTAATTATAAATATATATTAAAGTAATATCTCGAATAACTTAATTTACTTTCTTATAAACGACGCTAATAACTAAGCTAATACGACTTCTAACGCTATTTATCTTCTTAATAAGTTAACTTTATCTTAATAGACTATTATTAACTTTATAAGCTTATTCTATATACAATTTTAATCTCTTATCGAGTTTTATAGCGGAGTATAAGATTAGTTACTATAGTTACTAGAGTAGCCTATTATATCTAAATAGCTTATCTTATCTAAGTAGTCTATTATATTAGAGTAATCTATCGTACTATAGCTATTAGAGCTATTATAGTAGTCTACTCTATAAATACTAGAGTAGCCTGTTATATTAGAGAAGTCTGTTATATTAGAGAAGCCTGTTATATTAGAGAAGCCTATCGTATTAGAGAAGCCTATCCTATAGCTATTAGAGCCTACTTTAGAGCTATTAAAGTAGTTTACCCTAGAGCTATTAGAGTAGTCTATGCTAGTTATATTATAGTTAGCTTTATTAATACTAGAATAGTCTACCCTATAGCTATTAGAGTCTACTTTAGAGCTATTAAAGCAGCCTATCTTATAAGTACTAGAGTAGCCTATGCTAGTTATATCATAGTCAGTTCCATTAGTATTAGAGCAGCTACTCCACAGCTACCAGAGCCTGCTCTAAAGCTATCAGAGTAGCCTATATTATAGCTACCAGAGTAGCCCGTCGTAACAAAATTAACCCCATTTAAAAGAAGAGCACCCCCCTCCTTCATTACCAAAACCTACTTTTTTACTACCACAACCTACTTTTTATCTAATAAAACACCCCCCCCCCCAACCAAACAAAACAACATACTAAATACAACAAACACCCCCCCAATAAGTAATTAAAAAACACACCTTACTTATTAAATCATTTTTTTATTCTATTTTATTATTTATGGTGGTTTGATGGTATTATAATAAAAAAAAAAAATAAAATAAATTTTTTAAAATTTTTTCTTTTTTGTTTTTTTATTTTTTATATTTTTATTTATATTAATAATTATTTTAAAATAATATATTTTTTATTTTTTTTTTTTTTACCTTTTTTTTATTTATTTTTTTAATATTTTAATAATTTTTTATTATTCGGTGGATTTGCTTTGTTATTTTTAAAAAGGTTAAATTTATTAAAAATTTTTATATTTAATAAATTTTTTATATAAAAAAAACTATTTAAAATAAAAAAAAAAAAAAAAAAAATTTTCCTAAATTTTTTAAAATTTACTTAACTTAATAAAAAATTAATAAAAAAAATTTAATAAAATAAAATTAAAACATTTTCCGCATTAGTCTGCATTATCCGCACGATCTACGGACTAAGCTTTCTGCCCCACCTAAAGTTATTAAGAGACGATAAAGTAGTAGCGAGGAATAAGGTAAGTAAGATAAAGACAAGAAAACCTAGCGAGTAGGATGTAAGTCAATTGGCTAATTATCCATTCAACGTATTCGCTACAAAATAGTCGCCTGTAGGCTCGCTAGCACCAGGGAGTTCACCTCGCGGGGGGGGGCCGCTAGGGCGGCATTAGTCTAAGGTAGACGGGGGACCGTGGGAGGGGGACTGTCCCGAGTCAAGCTGTAAGCGAGCCAGAGGAACCCAAATGGCAAAACCCTCGTCAATCGTACTTTAGATCTCGATCCTTGGGACATCGCAGCTTCGAGTTTCTATAAACGAGACCACTGGCGTTTAAGAAAGCAACAGACGTCGCTCCATGCCAACGCACTTTTAAGAAGGGCATTGCTAAATGGATATGGTGAATAGTGGGAAGCTATGGAAGCCTGGCTAGAAGTAGGGCTCAATACCTTCATGGGCATCAAGCGCAAGGAGATGAGAACCGTTGAATAGGAGAGGTTCAAGAATATCCTTTGGCGGATAAGAAATCTGATCTTGGGTGCTTTCGTTGTCCAGTGCAATGGGCTTCACACTTTACCAGTGCCACTTTCCAAGCCATTCCCCCCTCGGGATCTGCATTCGTCTCGCAATGCAATGTATACGCACAGAGAGAACAGGGGCCCAGCAACCAAAGGAGATATACTGACAAGATCCTCGACCTGCAGTATTCGCCACGACAGCATCATTCGCGGCCGGACCAACCGCAGAGAAACCGACACAATACGGGCTCTCAAAGTAAACCTTGCAAGTCTGATGGTTGAAAAATCGAAACACGTTGACAACGAGATGGACAAAGTGATGCGTGAGATCGTGCCAAGACCTGCAAGCGGACACGTTCCGCGAATCGGTTCCCCTTGGTCTATCTATCCAGACGGTGCCGCCCGCGATGGTCAAGTCGTCGGGTTCGTCGATGTCGATCATGTTCCCAGGTCCTTCTCAGGCGTGATGGAAATTGAAAAAAGTGACACCGGCCAAGTCGAGGGTCCAGCCGCCGGAGAAGAGCCAGAGGACTGTATCATCGCTTGGGGATAGATTCGCGTCTGCGTCAAGGACATGGGTGGGACCGAGATGGTAGCTCTAGATCCCAGGGGCTACTTTGAGGAGGGTTGAGGCAAGATTCACGGTTCTGTGCATGGTCGTCCGGGAGACGACGTCGGAGCAACTGATCGTGTTGCCGGACGGAGTGTATATGGTCGCCCTAGTCTCAGTGGCCCCTCTAGGGGAAGGGCATTAGAAGTTCGGCCCGGAAAAAGGGTTTTCCGACCCACCACTACCACCAACCCTTCCGAATAGGTCTAGTACTGAGCTTGGCCGCCCCGCCAGGGACTGGTCTTGAATCAGTCAGACTGGAGTGGAAATGTGGTCGTTATTCTTACTGGGAGGCTGGCTGATCTATCGGGGTGAGTACGTATAGAGATGGTTGAGGTGTCTGCAATTGCCAAAGTAGCGGACTTTTGATTGACTGCAACAGCTCGACCTTGTGATGCATCGTTGACTGTATTTGCCCCATTGGATGTGGATACTACGACTTTTAAGACCGAGGAGCCAGATCTACTAGTACTGATTCAGTCAGGCTCGTAGCTGTCATCATCCGAGTTGCTGGTAGTTGGAGCAGCGAGGGCCGTGAGCGAGCAAGATCACATTGGCAAAGAGTGCCCGTATTGATTCTGTGATCCTGTACCGGACACCCTTCAAGACCAGTGGAAAAAAATGAAATTGTCATGTTAACACAACACCAGTGGAAAGGGAGAAAGGAACGTCTTGGGAGTGTGCCCAGAGAGCAGAAGATATTCTGACTGACCCGAAAGAAAGGAATTGCAAGCCCGGCACCTCGGGGAAAATCAAAGCAGAAAGGGACAAAGGGTCTTTAATGGATAATTCCATGTTTAAAAACACGGGATATCAGAGCAAAGGGGCATCATAATGAGATAACCTACCACATACGTACTAAATGAGATCCACGAGGGTTTGCCGCCGACTCGAACCTCGGACCGGAATCCATATACGCGCTCCTACCAGTACCAGGGTTAGGCTCCATTCAAGGCTATACATCACCTCAGTGCGCATCGTCCTTGGTACCGTAGGACAAGTCGTCCGTCGAGCGGGAGTGAGCTGGTTCGATTCGCTTTTCCTTTCTTCTTCTGGTTCACACGAAGAGATGGAGTCCCCAATCCCGACAGAGCCAACACGATCGCGAGCGTCATTCTTCGGCGAGCTGGTAGATGTTACATCTCCTGGCATTTTGGGAAGACGAGGTTCGAAGGTATCCAGGACAGACACCTCGAGTCGGTATAGCGCTTCGCCGCGTCGTCGTGACGAGGTGGATCGGCGGAAAGATTTTGGGGTTGTGCCTTGGAAGAGGGGTTCGAAGGGGTCCTTCGGCGTGCGTGGTGCCTGCTGGGCTTGGATTCCCTTGGCGTAGGAGGTATAGGCTGGGTATCTAGCTTGTCGGGATGTGGTATCGGGTTGGTGGATCCGGCGTCTTTGTGTGAGGCTTTGAGACTGGTGTTGAACAGATCGTCCGCTGGGGAGTATTTCAGCGTCACTGTAGCTACTCTCTTTTCTCCATCCCCGCTTATGCGTGAGCTCGCTCGCACAGTTTGGAGTATGCCATTGTCCAAAATCGAACTTCCATTTCCAACCACCGATATCCGTCAAAGCACCCCCGAGATCCTCGTCCCACGCCTCTCAAAAGCAGGCTTGTACCACGCCTCTAAAATGCCCCCCCCATCAATCTATGCCAGGCCGACAATCCTAAAGTGTTGAAAAAACGTCGCACTCTAACCCGGCGTGATCAGAGGGGCTGAACTGGACATCCGCGACTTCGACAGCGGTCCGGACGATCGATGCTCGTTGGTAAAACATGGCAGTTGGACGAACCGCGTGATGACGACTCATACCTTCCTCCGTCAGCCTCTAGACATTGTTTCTTGGGTCAGCTGATGAGGAGTCGGGCCGGTTTCCGGAGCTGCGGACTGGGGTGCAGTGGAGGGGCCGGGCTTTGCGATGGTGTTTCTGGCTCCTGGATGGAGTTTGATGGGTAGGGAGTGTTTGGACGCCTGGAATGTGAATGGTTTTCTCTCGAGGAGCGAGGTTTGTAAGGAGGGCTGGTCAGGTTGTTGCTCGGATCGCGTATGAGCAAGGTGATGTACTATGCTTAGGAGGACAAGGTCGTTGGGATTTTTTAGGTCGTGTAGCCAGGGCATATTCCTTGTTGTGATTGCCGTGACTAGCTAACATGCACATGGTTTGAAATATGAGAATTCATTGTTATGGTCACAGCAGAAGATAGAAGGGCAAGGCGCCACAAATTCATCATCCGTAAGTCGTGCTTGTCTTCTTCCGGTGCGTCCACATTCGAACAAATTGCAAGATTCCTCCGAGCGACCTCTCACATCTATTCAGTGTAACATCCTTCGCAGCGCGGCCCTAAACTCCTCCATCGCCTCTTCCGCGCTCACATCCTCGCTTTGACTACTTATATACCCATAACCAGTGGTCAGAATGCCCTCCGAGATCTCAATAAGTTCAACTGCAGCATCAACCCTCCCTTTCGTCGCACCCACCGCTTCAAGCCAATGGAATCCATCGCGATACAGCTGCTTGGCAATCCTCTTCGGTCCACCCCACAAGATCTGGCAGTCGATGTGCAAGCGTGTGAGGTTCACGGCGCCGGCCAGCAAGGTGAAGGCAGGGTGGTTGAGCGCTTTGTGGGCTTTCGTATAGCCCCAGCCTTTGATGGTGAGGTCAGTGAGGGTGGCGCGATTCTTGGGGCCAATGGTGGCGAGGAATGCGTGCATGGCCGTGGTGTCTTCAACAGCGAAGGTGTTGCCGGCGTAGAGGATGGGTTGGGTTTCGGCATAGATTGTGCGGTTGAGAAGGAGAACATTGGGCGTGAGGACGGGTATGGTGGCAGCTGGGGAGGTGTTCAATGGAAGTGATTGTGGCTGGTATCGGTAGGCGCGACTTCTGCGGTAATAGCCGTTTGCCGCTTGAGTTGACGGTGTAGGGGACTGAGCGTTGGATGGTGCGGCGATATTGTTTGGTCTTTGAGATAAGAAAAATTCCGTCTGGATCTATGAGGGATAGAGCGTAGATTTGATTCTTGAGCTCTGCTGGGAGCGATGTGAATGGGAAGATGTTGCGTTTGGGGAGGGTCTTGGTGGAGACAGCGGTATGGCTAGCTTTGAGCTTCTAGAGTAGGTTGTTAGATGACATCCTGGCTGTCAAAGACCGCCGTGATGCTCTAGCGGACCTTTCTTGACCTCGCCGTGAGTTTCCCATCTGAGGCACCGTACTCGTCGTCTACTTCTACCTCATCGGAGCTGCTCTCGTGGTATGAGATTTCAGCTCTCTTGCGCTTTGGGTATGCTCGCGTGGTCACTGCAGTGGTGGCCATGATTGATTTGTCAATGAACAAGAGAAGATATGTGTGGAAAAGAAAAGAAAAGAAGGAGATGTGCCAACCGTTGCTTATGTAGAGGAGGTATGAATTGAATGTCAGGTGACTCGCCGCTCGAAGTGGCTAGCTTAGGCACAGCTTCAGGCAGCGGCCGCTATTGGGAAAGAAGTACATACAGCTACAACAGACAGTTTCAGGCACCACCTGCGCTTACGAGTAATGGAGGTGAGAAAGTCTTACTTTGTATGTTGTATATTGTTGTTGTTATTATTATTATTTAGTGATGAGTATTCCGAATGACTTGGGAGAATGCGAGTGCCAACTCGCAGTGAAAAGTGAAATAGTGCTCTGTGTAACCTGTATCGTGTACTTGTAATTTACGCGTATCCACACGTAACACGTACTGGTGGTACGTACTCCACTTTTAAGGCAACAGCCGAAGCCTCGCACATGGGTTGCCAAGCCTCCAGCTAGTGCCGGTCATATATTTAGCTCGCTAGTATCTCCGATCATGTTTACGCCAAGGCCAGCTGATGTGAGCTACGGGATGCTTCACTTTCCCGCTCCTGCTTTTTCTGCCCCGGTTCATTGCCCTGCAATCCCAAAAGCCTGAATAGCATCCCAGTCCTTCCGACTCACGTTGAAGGCCTCTCTGAAAGCTTACCCTACCTCCATAATGTCGCAACGCAAGTCTCGCGCCCCTTCCGGCTCAGATGATGACTCCTCGGGCCCTCGCATTCCCCCACTTCCTCAAGGAGGTCGAGGAAGGCGCTCAGGAGGCGATGACTTTGAATCGCCAAAGAGGCGCAGACGCCATTCTGGCCGAGGGTACGACATGCCACGGGAAAAGCCACTGCCTTCGAAAGTGGAGCTGCAACTCTGCGTCTTCCATGGCGCCCCTTCCCATCGTTGGCGCACTGCGCCCTTCACTTTTGACAGAAGGAGGGATGATGATAGAGAGCTATGGGAAGAGATACGGCGGGTCTACAGGGATGAGCTGCAGGGTGTATGGAGGCGAATCCTTGGGTTCAAGAAATTGAAGCATATCATCCCGATTGAGGTACAGACTCCTTCGCATCACGATGCATTCTGAAGTTGGTCTCAGACATTGTGCGGAGCCAGTGAATGTGGAGAATGGCATACATATGGAAGACGAGGTGTAGGAGGAGCCACGTCATATGGGGCGGGACTGTGGTGCAACCTCAAGGAGCAGGCAGACGCTGACACCTCTTCCTCTCCTAGTACACCCCTAACGGCGTCCCCATCGCCAAAACCGCCAAAGACGACCCAAATTCACACTCCTTTATGCACGCCGTCCACCACCCTGATCGCATTCGCCCAGCTCACGAATGGGTCGACTGGTTTACCGAATTTAAAGCCGGTGACCGCGGAAAACCTGTTGGGCTCGAATTTCAAGAGGGACTGTGGGCTGAGAAGCTCGCTATAATCGCTATCTTGATTACCATTGCCATCATCATTGTGTCGATAGTGTGGGTGGTCAAAGGAGGACAGCTGCAGACCGTCTTCACGGTCATGGGATTTGTGCTCAGTGGTGCTGCTGGTGAGTGTTCCTGGGGATTCAATAACCCTGATAGTCCTGCGCTGACACCTGGTATAGCTGAGGTAGCTTTGGTGGCGCTCTACTTCCAAGTGACGACGTCGAATTAATTATTCGGGGACATCCTTTGCAACAACATTGATCGCAAGCCTCGATGTGCAAAACCTACATTGAAGAGTGAACACCTAGAAAGGGGTGTTGGAGTAGAAAGAGGTGTTGCAGAGGAAGGTTTTGCAGAGAGAGGTGTTCTAGGAAGCGTTGTTCCAGAAAAAGGTGTCCCATAAAGAGGTGTTCTTAAAAGCGGTGTTCTAGAAAGCGGTGTCCTAGAAAGATGTGTCCTAGCAAGAGGCGTCATAAGGAAAAAGTTCTCACAAAGGCCATAGAAGGGAAGAAGCGCCGGACAAGGCCAAAAGCAGCGAGGAACACGCGGGAAAAGCCATCGTCGCAAATACCCTCAAGGAAGCTTCCCGGTCCGAGGCCAAGAATGTGGCCTGCAAAGGTTCACGAAGGAGCTGCTACCATTGCCTGCGACATTGAACGGCTTCTCGGGCTGCCCGCTTTTAGGTCCTTGCGACAGATGTCGCCGACGTGCATGTCCGTACGTCCAGTCGGAGAAATGGCGCTGTTGTTTTCGTATGGAGGAAGGTGGAGGGAGGATGATTTAGCCAAGAGAGATAATACCACTATACACGCTGTTGAGAACGTGACAAAGTTGCAGCGTTGGGTAGGAGGGAGGTAGCGAATGAGATGTCGCATGCGAAAATGGTACAGTGAGGATGTTACATTCTTTATGTAGGGTATAGAGCAGCTGCGATACCGAAATACCACCCCCACCCGCAGGACGCCCTAGTTTCTATCCACGCCAAACAGGTAAGACCCCAACGCCTTCGCTCGAGATGGATATAAACCACATTACTGTACCGATACAATCTGCCCAGTCGCGAGAGCTCGAAACCAATCAAGCCTTCCTCCAACCATGAACGCCGTCGCTAAAACCAAAGTGCGCACATATGATTAGTACAAATCTCCATCACCGCCCAGCCAAGATGCACTCGCAATTCAAGCCTTCCGCCAAATCGCCCCCACACTCGTAATCACCACCGAATCGTCATGTCCCCAGAACCCGGCCAGGACCCAGCCGCTCCTCTCGTCCGGCGCCTCCTGCTCCACGCTCTTGAGCCCCGCCGGCATGCTCACCTTCCCCTGCCCGTACTCCTTCCAGCTCGTCAGTTCCTGCCCGTGCGCGTCCAGCACGATGAGCGCCGCCAGGCAGCCGGACCCTTGCTCGTACTCGACGCGGACCTTGCTCGCCGCGGCGCGCTCGAGGTCCGCGAGCGGCTGCGACCAGAAGGCCGGGTTCGCGCTCGCCCGGCCGCCGACGCCGTGGTGCGTGCCGTCGTCGCGCGCCGTCGCGGGGCTCTCGCCGTCGGTGCTGAAGCCGATGGAGGAGAGGCGCCCCTGGCATCGCTTCGAGTGCGTCTGCCGGCCGATGACGGCGAGCCAGTTGACGGAGCGGCACTCGTGCGCGTGGAAGCGCAGGCGGGTGAGGCGGTCGAGCGTCTTGGCGCTCCGCTCCTGGTCCAGCGTGCAGAAGAGGCTGTCTCGGCGCCGGTGCAGCCAGGAGGTCGGCACGGGCAGGCGGTCGCCGATCAGGGGCGCGAATTCGAGGTCCTCGTCCCGGGCCCACTGCCCGATCTTGGACACTTCTTGCGCGGTGAGGAGGCCGTAGTTGGTGTCGCGGCGCACGAGGTCGGCTTGCTCGCGGATCGTGAGGCCGTGGTGTCGGATCTGGGGGGGGTTGTCAGTTCACCGGTTCAACGCTCAGGGCGCGAGTGTATCGAGTGGGTTTGCACGCACCGGCATCCTTTTCCTAATCTCCCCGGGCCAGGCGTATGGCACTGGTCTTTGGTTCCCGTTCCCGTCCAAATCGGCCAATGACGGGTTGTAGATTAGGTCCTTGGTCACGTCCGTGATCTGAGTGAGCCCTTTGCGCGCCAGCAGCCTCGCCTCGTTCAAGCTCCGCGGCGTCAACGTGATCGGGTCCGGGACATCGGTGCCCGGGTCCCGCTCGCGGTAGCGGTCCGGGTTCTTCATCATCTCGGACAGCTCGGCCCAGATGTCCTTGTAGGCGAGGAAGGCGCTGAAGAGATCCTGCGTGTACAGCGAGCAGAGGTCGTAGTCGAGGATGCGGAACCGGTCCCCCGCCGGGTTGCGCGCGTCGGCCTCGTTGAAGCTCCGCAGGCTCGTGTACCGCGTCAGGACGGCCGAGGTCCGCTGCGCGCACGTCTGCACCAGGTGCGGGAACCGCGTCGCCACGTCGACCACGGTCGCCAGGTCCCACTTCTCGTCCGCGGGCTTCAGGTCCCCGCCGCCGGCCCAGTTGACGGAGATGGTGGTCTCGGTGTCGTCCCAGACGTCGCTCTTGCCCTTGTCGAGGCCGTTCTTCGTCCCGACGGACAGGCCGGGCGCGGCCGCGATGGCGATTTCGGCCTCGGCGGCGGCCTTGACGGCGGAGACCTTCGACTTGTCGCTCACCTTGATGCTGACGATGGCGCTGAACTCGCCGCCTTCGGTGAAGCCGCTGATGAAGCAGTCGCCGAAGACGTCGGTGAATTTGGTGTTGTCCATCTCCGGGATCGGGTTGAAGGTCATCTTGTCGGCGACGGGGGAGGTCTCGTTGGTCACTTTGACGGTGACGATGTAGTTGAGGTCGGACTGGTTGACCTTGTTCTCGTTGACGACGGAGGCGCTGCCGGAGCCCTTGATGGTGCCGTATTTGATCGACGCGCTCGACGAGATGTTGAGCGCTTGCACTATGTCGGACACGTTGTCCACCATGCGCGAGGAGTAGGTGACGATTTGAACGACGTTCTTGTGTGGCGGGGTCAGTTCGGCTGGGCGGACCGTTGTTGCGGGGACGGAGAGGGTGTTGGGACCGGTGGCGTAGTTTCCGGGTGCAGATGAACTCGAGACCTTTCGCACCATGGCCACTGAGTGGGAGGCATCTGATGCTAGTGATTCGGTGCTGCTTTTTGGGTTTAGTGTCGTGTCGGCGGATCCTGGGTGCAGCGGTGAATGGGAAATGGCTGGCTGGCTAGAACGTCGGGCGGCGATGGAGCTGCTGCTGAGGCGGGCCTTTCTGGCGGGCTCGATGAGGACGGCGTTTTCAATGCAGATTTCTTGTGTGTATGAGTTAAAGCTGGTGAATTGTTAGTGAGTTCGTGTTGTTCGAGGTGAGAGGAGAGAGGGAAGAGAGAGAGAGACTTACCCTTGTCCAAGCCTCATGGCATTCGTGTACGGTGCAAGGAACGACATGCCGCTGGAACCTCGGGAGTTTCTCTCCGCTTTACTGCTTTGGTTAGCCAGCGTGTCGACGGGCTTTCGCCGGTTATTAAAAGCCAGATCCAAAGAAGATACGAAGAGTGAGCCTTGTCTTGAAGGCTATCGGATTGGAAGGGGCAAAAGTGTAGATGCGATGATTTTGGAAGTAGACTTACGAGTGAGAAAAAAGTTGTTAGGAGCGAGTTTGTATAGAGAAGTTATATACCCAAGAGAGCTTATGATTATAAAGAAGAAGTTTCTGATGATCACGGACAGCCTCAACGGAGATGATTATTTTAGAAGTCCACAGGGCTACTGTAACCCATTATATGTGGAAAGGATTTCAGGCCTCCATCCGATGAGTCAGTTATACCAGGAACGATATTAATGAAACATGACGGTGGGGGCTGTATCACGAGATCGAAGGCAGTCAGAGCGAGGTAGCATCGCAAAAATAAGCAGCGACGGCCGCAGTTGACTCCGTGACCGTAAGCCTCTAACCGGTGCAAAGCGCTTCCTAGGCAGTTCAAATAAGGAAATGGAAGGAAGCGTAAGCGCCAACCCAGATCGTGTCAACAGAGCTCGCCATTGGCTGTTTCAGAAGCGTTTTCGTCTTGGCTTTGAACATGATTAGGTGGAAACACAAAGAATAACATCAGGCATGGAAATTTAGGTATTTTCTGGCCACAGATCCTGTAACATAGCCCACTGAAACAGATGAGGGGGATGCGACCACGAGGTTCAGCCGCACGGAAGGATCGAATCTTTCCCGCCGTTCATGTAAAGTTGCCTGGCACAGCGTCGCACACAGCCTTCTTGCTGAATCTTGATATACTAGGCTTACTAGCTACCTGAAAAACAAACTAAAAACGGCGACCATTTTCCATCGGGTGTTTAGTGAGATGATTCTTGTCGAGTATACTGCTCAAGACCACCCTAGAATTTTTATCTGACTTATCAAGACGTATGGGATCGACTAGTCACATGATGATGCCAGCTACGTGGACTTTGCTAAGTTAAAAATAGTGAGGACACATACAGGTGCTGATCAGATTACTCCATCTGACGCTGAAAGAACGACAGAATTGAAAGGTAGGATTCTGTTGCGGCTGTCAGCTGCGGGCTTCGTATTCGGCTAATCTTCGGTCTTCTCGCGGGGTCGTCGTCTCACCACTCCCCCAAAACTTGCACCTTCACCTCAAGATCTTTCGGTCGGGGAGTCAAACCGTTCCTGACTGTCATCACGTAATCTGCATTCGCAAATCGAGTCTCCAGTGTACCAGCCCATGCAGCAAGTAGGCATGCAAACTCCCCCTTTGCGAAGCTTTGCCCGATACAGCTTCGCGGTCCATGCAGAAATGTAAGAAACGCATAGTTACTCTCGATACCTCCTGTATTCGCTTTCCCCTCGCCTAACCAGCGATCCGGGTTGAAATTGCCTGCGTCCTCGCCCCAAAAATCCTTGTTGGCGTTTGTTGCCCATGGGGAGATGAATATCGTGGTGCCTTTGGGTATGAAATGACCAACCAGTGTGGTATCTTGTACCGCTACCCGAACGGTGATTGGAACGGGCGAGTAGAGGCGGAGGACTTCGTTGCAGACTGCGTTGAGGTAGGGCAGGCTGTCTAAGTCGTTTGAGGTGATGGAGGATGTTGGAGATCGTGGGTCTGGTAGTAAGGAGCGCACTTCGTTGCGCAGCCGGGTTTGAATCTCGGGATACTTACACAGCATGCATATCGCAAAAGATAGCGCAGAGGCAGTGGTTTCATGGCCAGCGATGAGAAAGGTCATCAATTGGTTGACGAGACCCTCGTCCGTGAATCCGCCGGATTCGATTGCTACCGAAAGAATGTTTCTAGCAGCACCTTCATTCTTGCTGGCCAAGTTCAATTTCTCTTGCTGCACGAGAGAGAAGCATGTCTTTTTGATGACTTGCGACGCCGCTTCGAAGTCGCTGTTACGTTTGATACTGTTCCAGAATTAGCCATGCCCGTAACGCCAGATTCAAGAAAGCTTACGGCAAGACCCTCACCAACCACGGGGCGATAAAGAAGAGAGCAGCCATAATTTGGCCACCCCGACCTGGCGAGAAAATCGATTTGTATGTGCGAATGAGCTCGTTATCTGGGTCTTTGATGGAGTCGAAGTCTCTTCCTAGACCTGCAAGGCCAATGATGTCGAGTGTGGCTCTACTAGCCCAGTCCTTGACGTCGATAGTTACATTCGGCTCATCGTTATCACGGCAGCCGGTCTCACTGTGCAAAATCAGGGCTTGGATGAGCTCGCTCGATTTGCTCCAGAAGATGGGATAAAGTTCCTTGATATGCCTGAACGCGAAAGCTGGCATGAGGTCTTTTCGTTGTCTCTTATGTTCTTCCCCTTCTGCAAGAAATACTCCCACGCCCAGGATCCTTCCCAGGCCCGTCACAAGCCCAGGCGGCTTGATGAATTCATAAGGCCTTTGGACAAGTACTTCAGCCAGTGCTTTTGGACTGACTGGAATGAGAATTTCTGAGTTGAACATATCGAGGTATCTGATGACACCATCATTTGGGACCTGTTCGGACCAGACACGGTACAGCTCAGCCTGGCCGTTTGGCTCTCGTCTTAGCCTTGAAGATTGGCCCATCAAGAAGGAACCGCCCTGGTGATAGCTAAGCTTGGAAAGTCGGGAAGGGGGGGCATTCAAGAGGATGGGGGGAAACAGCAAGTGAAGTGGACAAACCGGAGGCCCCGGCAGTGCACGAAGAGGGCTGAACAGGTTGGGATACAGAAGGCACCGCCACACGAGCCATGCGGCGGTCTCAACAGCGAAAATCTCAAAGGCGGTCATAACGAGATTCCGACTTGGCAGATAGGTTTCATTGTAAAGCTTGCAAAAGAAGGTAATCGCAATAGACGCAGCGAGGAATATTGTGAACGGCGCCATTGTTGCAGAAGGGTTGGATGAGAAGCTTCAAGATTGCTAAAATTTGACTTGTTGCCGAAGACACTGTACTGCTTGTTTTGTATCAGACACGTTGAAGCAGTAGACTTCTCAGTTCACGAGTTTGAACTATTCATTACCGGACGACTTGATGCTGCATCAGAAGGAAATGCCAAGAGGTATGTTGTACATGTTGTACACTCCTAAAGTCATGACGCAATGTATTCACGATCCTGTCTATCAATCGTTTTGGTAGGTCTCTGCTACGCTTAAACAGATTGGAGGAGCCTCTGTGCGATAGTACTCTTTGACAGGTATGGAGCATTTGAAGACTCGAAGTGGGCATCTGCTCTGGTACTTTGTAACGAAGAATCGGTGAAGAGCTTTAGCTTGGCCAAGGCCTAGCTTAGTGCATTTTTGGCTAGCGTTCTCTGATCCTACTCTGCTGCGGCAGCTAGATTCCTACATAGAATATCAAGCACAATTCTCCCACCATAAGCACCGTGGGAAAGTAGATTCTTTCCCCGGTGAGTCAATAGTTCGATCATCTAAGCAGAGTCCAAGATGTATTGACTCTCCTCAAGGGCTCTTTGAAAACCACCCATAGTCTTGCCCCAGCGCTTTGGTGATTTCGCCTCGAATTCACCAGATTCTCGTGGCCAGATGTGGCATGCAAGAACTATATAGGCAATGTTCAGGAGCGACTGTAAGTAAGAATGATAGGTGACATCTCTAAGTGCGCAGGTCCGATTTGGGACATGCTTGAGCCCAGAGACGAGAAGACTGACCACGACTTCAGATTTTGGAAGCATCTTTGCTCAGTGGCCAAA